AAAAGGGAACCCACATAAATCAGCCACTCAACACCCACCAGTATTCAAGGAAAGACAGACCTTTCTTTCAAGTTCCTTGTGAAAACACCAGGTTTTTACTCCTTGGCTTTTTCTGCTTCTCTTTGTTTCACCAAGATTTTCCTAAATTTAAACAATTTCAAAGACTAATTTCATGGAATCAGACTGGTTTGGGTTGGAAGGGACTTTAAAGCTCATCCAGTTCCAGCCCCTGCCATGGGCATGAACCCCTTCCACCAGAGCAGCTTGCTCCAAGCCCCTGTGTCCAACCTGGCCTTGAGCACTGCCAGGGATGGGGCAGCCACAGCTTCTCTGGGCACCCTGTGCCAGCACCTCAGCACCCTCACAGGGAAGAGCTTCTGCCTAAGAGCTCAGCTCAGTCTCCCCTCGGGCAGGTTCAAGCCATTCCCCTTGGCCTGTCCCTACAGGCCCTTGTCCCAAGCCCCTCTCCAGCTTTCCTGCAGCCCCTTTAGGCACTGGAGCTGCTCTAAGGTCTCCCCTTCAGGAGCCTTCTCTTCTCCAGGCTGCCCCAGCCCAGCTCTCTCAGCCTGGCTCCAGAGCAGAGCTGCTCCAGCCCTCGCAGCATCTCCATGGCCTCCTCTGGCCTCGCTCCAGCAGCTCCAGGTCCCTCTTGTGCTGCTGGCCCAGAGCTGGAGCAGGGCTGCAGGGGGGGTCTCCCCAGAGCACAGCAGAGGGGCAGGATCCCCTCCCTGAGCTACTGCTCACGCTCTGGGGGTGCAGCCCAGCACATGGGGGGGTTCTGGGCTAAAGCACTCACTGAAGCCAGGTCATGGGGAGCTTCTCATTGACCAACACCCCAGTTAATGCACATTTAACAGCCCATCTTTCTACAGAAACATAACAGACCCAAAAGTAAACTCACTGATTCTAAACACTAATAAGGAGCCCTACCACAGGTCTGGGATGAGGACCTCTTTAGTAAGAGGTTACACCCATGAGATGTAACCATATTACACAGCCACCCCTTCCATCAGTGCCCTGTGCAGACCATACCGTGTCTCTCAAAGGGCACATCATCCTCCACAAAGGGCTCAAAGTCCTCCCGCTGCCGGATCATGTAATCCACTGTCTCCTGGCGGTGGCGGAGGTGGTTCCGTGAGTGCCCCTCGAGCTGGTCCCCCAGGGCCCGAAACAAACAGTTGCTACAAGAGAGAAAGCAGAGGTTGGTGTGTGCAACACACAGCTCGGAGCACACTGCTGAACAAAGGACTGATCCAGCAGCACAGAGTACGGTGTTCAAGGGCGAGAGCTGCTCTTTCTGCCTATGGATATAAATGTGAAGCAGCACCTATCACTTGTTCTTTTGTTGGCTGCTACTGGTGGAACTCCTCATAGGAACAGGTGTTGAATGAATGTCAGCTCCAACAGCAGAAGTCAAGGTCAGCAAGAGTCACAGAATGATTTGGGTTGAAGGGACCTTCAAAGCACACCCAGTCCAATCCCCTGCACTGAGCAGGGACACCTTCCTCTAGAGCAGGTTGCCCAGAACCACATCCAGCCTGGCCTGGAACATCTCCAGGGATGGGGCATCCAGCACCTCTCTGGGCAACCTGTGCCAGTGCTTCACCACCCTCACTGTAATGGGTTTCTTCCTCACATCCAGCCTGAATCTCCCTCTTTCAGTTTAAGCCCATTACCCCTCATCCTGTCACAACAGGCCCTGCTAAGAAGTCTCTCCCCATCTTTCTTATGGGTGCCCTTTACAGAACTGGAAGGCCACAGTAAGGTCTCCTGGAGTCTCTCCAGGCTGAACAACCCCGTATCTCAGCCTTTCCTCATAGCAGAGGTGCTCCATCTCTCGGATCATTTTTGTGTCCCTCCTCTGGACCCTCTCTCTTTGCTGTACTGATGAATAGCACTGGGCTCAGCTGCCTTTAACAGGCACTGAGCCGAAGAACACAACGCAGCCAAGGGCAGCCCCATGACCCACTCAGCCACCCCTCAGCAGACAAATCTGCCCCACACTTCTGCACGTCCCCCTGCACACTCGGCGTGCCAGCAGAGCCCCAGCCCCCGCGGCAAGGCCTGGGACCGGCAGCCCGAGGGGGCACATCCCCCCAGCAGAGCCCCCTGACCTGCGGGGTGCACCGGGGGAACCCTCACTCCTGTGCAGCCCCGGCCCCGCTCCACCGCGCGGGGACCGCTCTCAACGGCGGGGACACGGGCTGCCCCACCCGTAAACCGCCGGCCTGGGGTGCTCACCCATCGCCCGGCACCTCCCGCAACTTGAGGCCGAGGGCACAGAGCTGCCGTGCGAGGCCGCCTCCCCCCGGTGCGGGGCTGGGGCCGGGGCCCGGCCTGGCTGGGCTCTGGCGGGGCCTGCGGGCCCGCCCGGCTGCGGCAGCGGCACCGTGCCGGGCCTTGGCCGCCGGCTTACGGGACATCGCACTGCGCCTGCGCCAAGCACCCCTCACGTGACCGCAGCACTACTGAGAGCTGCAGCGAGCGGCCAGAGCGCCGCCCTCCGCGCTGCTGCCCCCTGGTGGATCCCTCCAGCAGGAGCTGGATTAGGCTCTGGAGGGAAACTGAGGCAGAGGAAGCAGAGGGCTTCCCTTGGGATCACAGCCACAGCCCCCCCAGCGTCTTCCTGCTGCCCCAGAGCGCCTCCATCCCCCCGCAGCATCCACCCATGTGTGGGGACCGTCACTGTCTTCTCCATCCTGAGCAGGAGGTCTCTGCAGGCTGTGCCCACCCAACCAAACACACTGACAAGAACTGGAAAAGGAGATGAAGGATGAGGGCACAGTTGCCGACCCACGAGGTGGCACCACGGGAACATGGCTGGTGGGCCAGGACAGCTGGAACAACTCAGTGTAACACACATCTCATGTGGAGCTCTCGTGTCCCAGATCCCCTGGTTCCAAGAGGAACCTGCCAGGGTGGAGAAGGGGCACAGCACAAAGATGGGGCTCGACCAGAGCGCAGCACCTGGGGAAGATTCCCTGCATCCTCATCCTCCACCACAGTGGGCAGCTGGAGAATCCACCCTCCACCATGAGCATACTGGAATTACATGTTATTCCTGACTCACTCTGCTGGGAAGAGCCTGTTGTCACAACAGTCTGAGCACAGAAGGCAGCTCACGGGACTTTCACCGGTATCTACATGGAGGCTGTGTGTATTATTGCGCCCAAGCCGTATGGCAAGCGAGCATTTTACTCTGGAATGACACAACTGCTCCCTTCTATCCATTTCCTGTCAAACAAATCCGTAAGGCATTCCTTAGAAACATTTTCTTAGGCAAACATACTGAGAGCAGGAAAGCATGAGGAGTGCTCACACTGACTGCAAATGAGTAATGACACATTTTGAATGAACAGGCTGCAGGCAGTGCAGTTGAGTGCAACCTGCACCATGCCAGGACCACCAAGCACAAAACTGAGTCAAAATTAGGGCAGAGCCTTTGACACTTGGGTGGAGCATGGGACAACACTGAGCAGGCATCTTTAATCCAATGTGAACAACTGAAACCAGGGCAGAGGGACCACAGTGTTGGAACAGTGGTGCCGCAACCACAGCCCGAGTGCACAGCTGTGGCTTCCTGAGCCCCCAGCAAGATCACACTTTCACCCCTGGGGTCCCCAAAAAGCTTGAGGACTCACCAAACCACAACATGCTTCCCATTCCCTCCAGTGAGCCATCCTCACGGAGGTCTGTAGCAAAATAACCACATGTCTCCAGCAGCTCCAAGTTCCCAGAACAGGATTCATCCCACCTGGTTTCAAACTCCTCCAATCACGAGTGCAGTTGCCCCCTCCTGGTGTTTGTTCCATCTTCCCAACATCTGTGAGATGGTTTCATGCTGTTCTAATAATTAAGAATCAGTAAATTTTAAGACATTTACATTGTAGAACTGACAAGACTGCATTTGAAGCTTCTAAAGCACTGTAGAAGTGGCAGGTCTGGCTGCTGTGTTCCCAGATCTTTTAACAGTTTTAATTTACTAATAAAGAGGGATGTGAAATCCAACAGAAAATTCTCCGGGTTTTAAACATAAATGAGTCTTGCAGCTCACCAGCCGGCTTCCAGCCATTCCTGCACTGCAAGTGAGTCTAACTTCTGCAAGTGAAAGACCTTGGACCTGCTCAAGCAAGTCCAGAGGAGGCCACAGAGATGCTGCAAGGGCTGGAGCAGCTCTGCTCTGGAGCCAGGCTGAGGGAGCTGGGCTGGGGCAGCCTGGAGAAGAGAAGGCTCCTGAAGGGGAGACCTTAGAGCAGCTCCAGTGCCTAAAGGGGCTGCAGGAAACCTGGAGAGGGGCTTGGGACAAGGGACTGTAGGGACAGGCCAAGGGGAATGGCTTGAACCTGCCCGAGGGGAGACTGAGCTGAGCTCTTAGGCAGAAGCTCTTCCCTGTGAGGGTGCTGAAGCACTGGCACAGGGTGCCCAGAGAAGCTGTGGCTGCCCCATCCCTGGCAGTGCTCAAGGCCAGGTTGGACACAGGGGCTTGGAGCAAGCTGATCTGGTGGAAGGGGTTCGTGCCCGTGGCAGGGGTCTGGACTGGAAGAGCTTTAAGGTCCCTTCCAACACAAACCACTCTGGGATTCTATGATCTTCAGGCTCCTAATAATTTGGAGTCACCCACAAGTCCATCAAACACATCAGCAGAAATACAGCAGGAACGCCCAAGCACTTTTATGAAGCTTGCTTACGACAAAGCTCCTACTATTTCTCAGCAGAGAACAAGCTCTTCTCACCTCATCCCCTAATCTAATCTCTGGTTCAGGAGAATAGTCTCTTCCTGAAGGCCTTGCCCTCCTAAATTGCAGTTGTTCCATTTCTTTCTGCTGCTCCGCTCCTGGGGGGAGTGGCTGGTACGTGGAGGCAGTGTTAGCCTGAGTGCTTGGGTGCATCTGAGGATACAGACACAGTATGGGGTATCTCCCCGGGAATGATGACCTCATCCAGCTTTTCAGTACTGGTGACCCTTCCTTTTCTACCTTCTTTCCTTCCTTAGGATTCTTACTGAGAACCCAGATGCATTTTACCCCTCAAAATGAAAAGGTAGAAAGAAATCAGAGACTGAGGCATTGTGATCCAGTGTTATTAGTTTCAGATGAGATGAATATTCACAAACCCACTTATCAACAGGGCATTCCTGAGCACATCAGGTCCTGTGAATGCCAGTAAAGATGGTCTTACCAGGACATGAACCTTACTTCTAATTTCCAGCTCTCTCATGGAACCTGTGCGACCCTACATGAGCCTACATCATGCTTTGGTTTGCACCTGCAGCCCTCTGGTGATGCTCCATCATGGATGCTCCTCAGATAAAAGAGTTAGTAATAATCAGACATTCAACATTGATAATCTCAATCTTTCTGTTGTGCTGCAAAGCAACAGCTCGAGGGTAGTGGGTGTTGCTAAAGCAAAAGCAGATTTCCTACCCAGAGAGCTCAGAATTGGTCATCCTTCTGCTCCCTCTAATCAAAGCCCTCCAACCAGTGTTAACAGCAAATCCTTCTGAGCCCCCTACTGGCAAGCAAAGCAGTGCGTAAAGACCAGTTAAACTGCGTTCAACATAAAATACTCATTTAGTAATAATGATAGAGTCTGACTATCACAGTGAGCAAAGCTGCAGCCTGGTAATGCCATGGGGTTTGTTTCCGGACAGGAATTGCTCAGCAAGATTACCAGCCATTGTAAAATGTCTTGGCCACGAAGTTAGTGATTAACTCTGGTCCCCATCTCATAAAAACATCATATTGGAGGAGCGCAACATGCTGAAAGCTGTCACTAACCAATCATGCCTACAACAGGGATAAAGCAACACATAAAAGGAGCCAGAAACTCAGCAGAACCTTCAGCTAAGTGGAGAAAAACTGCACCAAGGTGTATCTCCATGGAGAAATTCACTGACAAGCTGAACAAGGACCTTGGATCCACAGCTCCTGGAGCACCACAGGCTGAAAAACAGAGTCTTGCACTTGCTGTGGAATGTGCTGCAGGAATGAGCAGAGTAGGACTCCAAACAGAGGATGTGAAGAGCCTGGGATTCACTGAAGAATGTGTTAAAGAACCGGAGAGACCTTCAGGCATGGAGCAAGCCAGTCCTGATGCCTCTGAACCAGCAGTTTTGGAAGGAGACTGTCCTAGCTCAGTATCTCTTGTGCTAACAAACAGGAACTGTCCTGAAGAAGACAGTTTGAACCACCAGTGTTCAACCACATCTATTGACCTGGACTGCCTGGTTTGCTTCAACAAGTACAACATGTACAGAGTGCCCAAGCTCCTGGACTGCCAGCATGCCTTCTGTGCAGTGTGCCTCAAGCTCATCCTCAGAAAAGATGGGAATGCCTGGATGATCACCTGCCCCCTTTGCCGAAAAGCCACTTGTGTGTCAGGAGGACTCATCCGCACCCTTCAGAACAAAGAAGACATCATGGAGCACTTGGAAACCCCCAGTTCACACCCTGAGGTCCATGTCTCTGCCATAGGGCTAGCCAGCAATAGCTGGACTCGGACCAGCCAAGACTTGCTCTACAGAGATGAAAGCGTTCCACCAGACAACAGGTTGGCTCTTCAGAGACTTGTGCTGCTCCTGCTGCTGGGGGTGATCCTCACCATCCTCATCCTCCCCTTTATATACTCTGGGCTGATAAAATGGGTGGTTTGTCTCATGCTTGCCTTGGGGGTGGTCATCTCTGTGGTGCTTTGCTGCACTCCTAAATTCTACTGGAGGTCTAACAGGGACTTGCTCACCTCCCGCCACAAAGAGACCTACATTACTGCTATAGCCTGAACCAACAATGGACTGGTCCTGCCTGCAAAGCTGTCTCATCAGTTTGCTTTTGTCACTTTGTTCTTGTGTCATCTCCTGATTAGCACTGCAGAACATTATCTGAATCTGAGAGATTATGTCCTGTGAAAACCCCATGGCTGTGTTTTTCCCACTCTTAACATATGTACACCTTTTCTTGGGAGAGTGTGGGGAAGAAAGAATGCTCAGGGACCCTCAGGGAGTGGGTGCCCAGCCTCAGGGGATGAGAGAGGCTTTAACACACATTATCACTTGAACCCCCATCACTGCCCAAGTGCTTGTGGCACAGGGACTGGGAAAAGGGGATGTCAGTTGATACCATTTTAAGTTGCACACTGCATTGGAGAGGAAGAGACACAACCAACACTCCTAGTTGTGAGTCTGCAGCTTGCCAAGGCCAAGGCTCTCAAAGCTCAGGACCATCTAAATTCCCCATTTATTCAGCACAGAAACAGTTCACTCAACTGAACTCCTTCATCTGGCTACCTGCATCACCTCTCTTCTTTACACCAAGTAGGACACTGCCCCTGGAGAGGCTCCCCCAGATCAACTGCTATGAGATACTACACACAATATTTTTATATGGAATATCTCCATTAAAAGTTTAAAAGTACTCATTAACTGCACATTGACTTCTGTGTTTTGATTCCTCACCTGAATTAATGCCAAAACATTTCAGCTTTCTCATTGACAGGAACTACAGCTGAGAAGCTTATTAAGGAGTCAGCACACCTGAGTTGGGGAGTAAAGCAAAGCAGTAATGTGTTGGTGTTTTCCTTTATTTAAAAGAAACACTTAGTTGTGAAGAAAATACAAAACTTAGGAGACTGCCCCAGTTCTGTCACACTTTAAAGAGTACCACAGATCTCAGCAGACCTTGGATCCAGCCTATGGTAAATGTTTGTGTTTGATAAGAATGGAAACTGATGTTCTGCAGTTACTCAGTATACAAATATACTCAGTGTCTCACCTGTAGATAAACCAGTTTAGACTGAGAGGGTAAGGAGCTGCTGTCCTCCTGAAGCCTTGGGAAAACCAGGTCTGTTTTCTGCCTAACAACACAAACCTTAAGGGAAAGAAATGCCTTTCCCCCCCCCCATCTATTTGGACAGCCACTGCCTCATTGCAGAGTACATATGTGGTAACATTTCCTAATGACCAACTAGAAAAAGGAGGTTTCAGTTGCTAAAAAGCAGGTAGTTTGAAATCCAAATACTGTATTATTCCAAACACAGACTCAGCTGTACTGAAAATCAGTTCAGGAACTCTTGGCAAGTGTCTCAGCTCACAGAAAAGTTTCTTGTTGAGTTTCCTTCACCAACACTAGTGAGTGACTGGTACTCTGAAAGTTTGTAACAAATGTGTCAATATTGGCCTAGATGTAGCATGCATGAACCCATCAAAGGAGTAAAGGAAAACTGCGTGCTAATTGCTACAGAACACTGATCTCATAGATAGCAAGAAACAGATTGTCCTAAAGATAAGATGACAAAGATGATCTGGACTAGAGCCATAAAGTGATCCAAATAAAAAAGAAATAAGACAAAACTTGGGTAACTTTCCTTAAGATACCAAGCAAGACACCAACCATCACTGACTCCAGAAGGATGTGTGTGTTGCACCCAGGATCAGTTTGCCATCATCAGTCAAGAAACAGAATGAAGATTTGAGAGGCAATGTCCCTGGTCTTCTGCATCACTACAATTCAATTTGATTACGCTAGTTTCTACAGTGCCAAAATAAAAGGCCAAAAAAAAAAGGGCTCCCCTCAAGGCAGCATACACCAGTGGGAAGGAATAGACTGGCCCTCTGAAAGAACCCCTGCAGATCCACACAGGAAGCCATGGAAAGGCTTGCACGCAGCAGTCCAACCAGAATGTTTCTTCAGCCTTGAGAGCCACTAACAACAAGTGGTTCAGAGTTCAGGGATGTTGGTGGGAGTCATCAAGCTCCATGACAATGCAAATCTTCAAAGCAGCAACTAAGTTTGTTTTGCCAGCCCAAAACATAAAGTATCTGTTGGTTCTTATCTGACAAGATAAGGCTCGATGACAATGCAAATCTTCAAAGCAGCAACCAAGTTTCTGGAGAAAAGGCCAACAGAATTGTATTGCTAGACCAAAACGTAAAGGATTTGCTTGATTTGTTTCATTCATGCCAGTCTTTTTGGCAAGATTTCAGCTCTGAATTACTTTGCCCTGCTTGTCTTACCTAGCTGGCTCCCGGTTTTGGAGAGTGATTAGTAACAGGCTGTAGCTTAACAGAGAGAGCTTCATAATAAGAAATGGACCCAGGCAGCAACATTCAGCTGTAGCTGACAAACTGCATAACTATTCTTGGGTTAATGGCTGGACATGATGACCTTAAAGGTCTTTTCCAACCTGGTTGATTCTGTGATTCTATCTGAGAACTGGGATTTACAAAGACAGAATCCCAGGGAGACATGAAGCACATGATAAGACCCAACAGCAGTATTTAAGGTTTATAGTTGTATAGACAAAATCCTTCAAAGGTGCTCTGTTTAACAATGCACAGTCACAAATGAGTGTTAAAATACGCCTCTCCTCTTGTCATGCTCTGCTCCCACTCTGCCTCTACCCACAGCACCCTTCCCAAAGCCACTTCTCCCACCCCAATCCCTCATCAGGCTTCTCAAGAACCAGCACCACCATCACCCACCAGAGTCACTAGTTCCTTATGTAAGGAGTAAGACAGGTGCCTGAAAGATTCCGAGTGTAGGTGTTCTCAATTACTGTTAAATGTAGAAGTCTCACTTTATCTACAGAACTTTAAATTATCCATAATTGTGCGGGCTTTGACTCCTATTAAACTCTATAATGAAATCCCGAGTTAACAACATCTGGTAAAACTCACTTCTAATTGTTATTCCACTCAGCTCATGTTTTGGTCCACTTTTAACAGCTCTCCTGTGTTATCACGCAGCTAGAGGCAGTCGAAAATAACACATTTCACACTTCCATATCGCTCTCATTCTGTACACAGAGAACTTTTAGATCTTCAAACACGGAACTGTCAAATCTACAAGAAACTAATTAGCAGATCTTGGTCTGAGAACAGGGATTTGTGTCCAGGCAATTCTTTGCTTGTTGGGAACCATTTGCAACTTGTCCACCGCATTCTGCAGTTACCAAAGTCACAGGTAAAGTAGATCCCTTCTGCACCATAACTGGGATCAACAGAACTCACCTTCTGAGCTTCAGTGTCACCTTTAACAACTCCATGACAATGCTGCAAATGCCTGTATGGAATATAAGTAGCTGTGTGAGTAAACCTGAGGGGGCCTAATGTCAGTAGCAAGCAACCAGCACAAGATATTTGGCCAAACTGAAATCATCTTATAACTAGAATCCAGACTATTTTCAACATTTATTTATAGGTAAGTCCCACATAACACATTTTCAAGTATCCATCAGTTACCCAGCTACCAAGCAACCCAAGTAGTGTTGCTTCTCACACAGAAAAACTTCTCTCCTTCCCTTGAAAAAACACTGATTTCTCCAAAATTGACTGCACATGAACTTGGGGTTAGAGCTGAGACTTCTCTTTAGTAAATTTACTTCTTAAAAGCCTCAAAATCCTTGTGCTTGAGTACCTGAACTAACTACACAGTGTAAGGATTTCTGCAAGGCTAATTCACCACACTGAGCAAAGCCTAGGCCAGTAACCCTGCTGCTACCAGAAACAACCTATTTTAAACACATCATATTTCAAACTGAAACAGGAGAAGTTCAGGTTGGAGATAAGGCAGAAGCTCTTCCCTGTGAGGGTGCTGAGGCGCTGGCACAGGGTGCCCAGAGAAGCTGTGGCTGCCCCATCCCTGGCAGTGCTCAAGGCCAGGTTGGACACAGGGGCTTGGAGCAAGCTGCTCCAGTGGAAGGGGTCCCTGCCCGTGGCAGGGGTCAGGACTAGAAGAGCTTTAAGATCCTTTCCAACACAAACCATGACTTTATATGCATTGCTCAATGAGTGCATGTATGAACACATACACATACTTCAGCTTCTGATCACATCTTTGGGATCCCACCCAGTAACACAGCACAACACCAAATCTTTCACTCTCCTCAAGGAAACCCTCAGAGACCCCAATCTATTCTTCACGGAGGTGGCAAATAAACCTCAGGTGCGGCCTGCCAACACCTCCACCAAACGCACGTCCCTGCCTCTCTCTGCTGCCCCCCCTCAGCGAGGAAGGCTTTAAAGGGAACAAAAGGGCTGGTACCTGGATGGGCCACATGAGATTGTGGACAAGGCCCAAGAGTGCAGGTAAAGGTGAGCTGTGAAGGATGAGCAGAGCTCCCCCATCCCATGATGGGCATGGAGCCACCACCCGCCCCATGCAGGAGCCGGGTACGGGACCCGCCGCCGCCGCCGCCGCCACCATCACCTCACCCCTGCGCGGCTCCGCAAGCGACGCACCTCGCTACGCAGATTGCGTAAGCGGCTCCGGGCCTGCCCAGCGCAGCCCCTACGCAGACTGCGTAGCGGGTAAGGCAGGAAGGGGCGGGCGGAGGCGGCGGAAGCCCCACGGCGGTTCCCGACTGGGACGGGTCCCGGAGAAGGTCGGGTCCGGGCCGGGAGAGGGGGGGCGAGGGGCTGGGAGCAGCTCCCGGGCTGAGGGGCGAGCGGGCGGGACCCTAACCTCCCCTTCGAGCGCTCTGTGCTCCCTGCTGCCGGGGCTGTTCCTCTCCTCCGTGCTTGTCAGAGGCGCGGCTTGCTGCCAAAAGCAGCCAGTACGTTAGCAGCAGGAGTTACAGACACAAAAGACTCGAGGTAAAAGTGAACATCGGGAGCTGTGGCGGTGGTGTTCCTCACAGCTGAAGGGTTTCCTTCGTGTTTTAGTGATTCCTCGAGGCTGGGCACCTCGCTCTCCGCAGCTTTGTACTGATCATGGCTCCTCAGGCACTGCTGCTTTAAGCGTCCGGATTAACCGCATCAGACGCACTCGGTTTTGTGACAGCCAAAGCCTTAGCTTCTCCGTGTCCTATCTGATCTGTGTTTTACATTTGCATCTCTGCAGCGCTGTCTTAACCCCAGCCTGGTTTGTGTTGGAAGGGACCTTAAAGCTCCTCCAACCCCAGCCCCTGCCACGGGCAGAGACCCCTTCCACTGGAGCAGCTTGCTCCAAGCCCCTGTGTCCAACCTGGCCTTGAGCACTGCCAGGGATGGGGCAGCCACAGCTTCTCTGGGCACCCTGTGCCAGCGCCTCAGCACCCTCACAGGGAAGAGCTTCTGCCTAAGAGCTCAGCTCAGTCTCCCCTCGGGCAGGTTCAAGCCATTCCCCTTGGCCTGTCCCTACAGGCCCTTGTCCCAAGCCCCTCTCCAGCTTTCCTGCAGCCCCTTTAGGCACTGGAGCTGCTCTAAGGTCTCCCCTTCAGGAGCCTTCTCTTCTCCAGGCTGCCCCAGCCCAGCTGTCTCAGCTTGGCTCCAGAGCAGAGCTGCTCCAGCCCTTCTAAAGTTCAACATGTCAGCAGCTCGGTTGCTTTTGCTGTAATTCAGGACAGAGACGCCAACATCTCTGCATTCCTTCTCCCAGCAGTAGGGAACGTGTGTATTGTACAGCTTCAGATCCACAAAAGGATTATTTTCCTGCTGCTCAAACAGGACTGTGGCAGCCGCTGTGTAAAACAGCACCTCTCAAGAAAAGGTGCTGTGAAAAGTCAGCGCTGGAAGTGATAACAAATTTCAAGTGATGGTTCAGACTATGGTGATGCTGTTGGCTGCTGAACCACCCTGCTGGAGCCAGGGATGTTAATTCCAGTGCCACAAGCTGTAAATAACTTCTGGGCTATATTTCTAGCTCTCCATTCCCTCATCTTGAATTAGCAGCACAATTTATGGCTCAAGTTTTCTTTACTAAATCACTTTTTCCCCTTTTATGCTTTTATGCTTACTTCAAGCCCTTTTCTTTCCTAGGTATCTATGAAGAAAGATGCCTCTTTTGAGAGACACCCATCAAGCTTGCCCGTCAGAGCATCTTCAGAGTAAAGTCTTTCAGCCAAATGCTCAGCATCATTAATTACTTGTTGCATAACAGCAATAAAGTTGCATGCAGGAAGCTGCTCTGATGCCACTGCATAGCTGTTCATATCCTTTATGTTACTAGGAAACAAGGTTGAACACTTGTACTCTTTCTGGATCATCCTTTTTAGTTGCTTCACTTTTCATATGAGCCTGTGTTAACAGATCAATAAATCTGTCACAGCAGGGAAAAGGGGTTTTGTGTCCCATACTAAGCTAATAAATCTGTGTCCAGAGGTGAGTAGACATGCCAAGTAATTGTAAAGTTCTTGAAACTTTCATGTTGGATCATTTCTGGGCAAATTGCCCTGTAAGTCTGGATGGTTTAGGAAGATCAGAGCCTAGCAAGTGATGTGAAATGGATTTGGGAGTCCAAATGCAGGCTTTGGAGCTCCTGAGGTAGTAAATCAACACTGGGATTTTGTAGGAAGAGTCTAGAAGGCACAGAGGAAGGGCTTACACCACCTCTGCAGCTCCTGGGTGTGGAGGTTGGCACTCAGGTGGATTGAGGAGCCTAATCTGGCCCTTCCCTCCTCTGGTCGGAAGGAACAGTTAGTTCACTCCTGTGGACTTTGTGCTGCCATGTTGCTGGAATGTGATGTTTCCATGGAAATGCACTGTGATGCCTTAGCCTTGAGGCATGGATGGCACCAGGAGGTCTGTGTTGCATTGGGGCTGAGCTCTCCTGCAGATAGGGCATGAGTTATGATAACCATTGGCCCTGGAGTGCTGAATTTGCTTTGTGTGTGTACCTCAGTTACAGTTAAATACTGGGAGCCTTGAGAAACACAAATTGCCTCCAATTCATATTTGAGTGGGAAGGCAGACAGACACCTTTCCTGGTGACAGACAGCACGCACATAATCAAATCTGCATGTTTAAAAAGAGCCGCTCCTGTGCTGCGTGTCTTTCTTCTAGAACTCTAAAACTATCCCGTAAATGGTGTCTGCATCCTCTGAGATGCATTGTCATGTCACAGGCTCCTAATTCCTATTTAGCCACTTTCTACATGGCTTAGAAGGAAGGAAACATTTAAGTAGGAAGTATATAATGAAATATCCTTAGAAACCAATTGAATCTTGATGAAGTCAGTAGACATTTCAGGTGATGTGAGCAAAGCTTTGGAGCAGGTTGTTACATTGAATTGTGAAACGAGCTGTTGTCACATCTCCTGATTTCAGTCAGCTTGATTAGCCTCTTGTATAACCAGGGGAGCTTCTGGGTAGCAGTTACAGGCTGTTTGGTTGGAAGTGTGAATGTCTGTGTTCTAAAAACCAGGATTTTGGCTCAGCTCAAGGTCTGTGTGGTGCAGGGGTGTTATGTTTAGGGACAAAACAGTGGCAGGTTGTATAGAGGAGAGAATGGCACAAGCAAAACATGGCAATGTCCATAGGGCACATTAAATGTCCTTCCTGTCAGAGGCTGTAGCTGGACTCCACTTTCTTAATGCTGTCAGCAAATAACCAGGAGCAATTTTGATTGAGGATGAAGAAGGCAAATTATTTCCCAGGCAGCCCCTGCAGAGCTTTTATTTTACATGTGATTTCGTGATGAACACATGAAGGATATGCCTGAATGGAGCTCTGAGTTTTCCTTTTGCTGCATGAAGTATTGTCAGCTCATTTTGTGCTGAACATTGGGAACTGGTAAACTGAAAGGGTCCCTGAAGAAAGTTGTCTTCTTTGGTCACAGTGCCATGTGGTGGGGGTACACAAACAGGCCCTTGACTTAATACTGACAAATGTGACAGTAAAAAACCACTGGCTCTTTGTGTCTTTGCTTCCTGGTTTCCAACTGTTTGTTGTTTGCTTTTGATTTATTTTTTTTTCCTTCTACTTTTCTCTTTGTTCTTGCAGGTAAAAATGGCTGCAGAAGAGAAGTGGAAAGGTTTGTCTTCAAAGCAGCACAGTGTGACTGGAGAGGCAGGTGGAAAGGAACCGGGTGTGCTTCTGAGCCAGCAGCTGGCTGAGCCGGGAAGATTTGCTTACGCAGCGCTTTGTGGGATATCCCTTGCATGGCTCTTCCCTGAAGAAGAGCAAAGGTATTTCAAGGGATAGCAAGGGGTGAGGAAAGGAGATGTAGCAGCTCAGATGGAGCTGGTATCAGACTCTGTGTGGGGTCTTCTGAAGTTAGGGGAGTGGAAGATCCTCTTGACATTAGGTGTCAATAGCACTGACTTTCTCTCTTACACCTTTAAGCCTTTCATACTTCAGCACAATTCTACAGACTTCAAAGCACGTCTTGAAGCAAGTTCTGGCTCCGTTCAGGTTGTTCGTTTGTTTGTTTGACCAGCTAGTGTAGCAATTTGCCTTCTGCTGACTTCTCACAGTGCTTTGATTTTTGTGTGAACAGATCAATGTTTGAAACCAGGGACCTGCCAAAATACACAGTTATGGAGATTAACTGCAGTTCTTGCCTTACAGCTCCTTCCGGATGGGATTCATTGAGGGCTTTGTGAAGTGGCTGGACCTGCCCGATGCTGTCTTACCTGCCATGACAGCGTTTGCTAATGGCCTAGGAGGTGAAGGCACAGAAACTTTTGCCCAGCTTTTGCTGCAGGATGCCGTCCTGAAAGAAAATCCTGTTGTCATCACCCAAGTAAGTTCATGAGCTCCCCTCACTCTTGTTTGCTTTTGCAGAAGAGCTTTGTCATACGTGTCTGTCTGACACTGAGGTTCTGTTTGCACAGTATTTCTGGTATGCATACATTTCTGAGGAGCTGTGTGGGTGACTGGCATTCTCTCTATCCATAAAGAGCTCACAAAAGTGATGAACACAAGGCACAGTTACTGTCTGTTGAATTAATGTTTTGTGCCTTTGATGCTCTTGCTCTAAGGAATAGAAAACTGTCAGACTTTTTCCTTTGACTGTATTATTGCAATGGTTCTGATTCCTGTGAGGCTTCTACAGATCTTGGTGAAACACTGAACATGATAGACCTGATTTTCACTTGTTTAAAAACCCTTTCACCAATCTGTAAGCTAAAACACCTCTACATACATTCTCCAAACAGCACAATTTCATTCTAAGAATATCCAGTCTTTTTTCCAGAGTCAGCTTTGGCCAGAAGGAATTAAGTTATTTTTGACTTTATTTTCTTCCACTGAGAAAGTTTTAGTGAGACTGGGACTGCTCCATAAATGTTCTAATGTAAAAGCTGACACAAAGATTAAAGAGGTGAAGCATTTCAGTGGCAATTCACCTTCAGTGGCTGCAGAGTCTCATCTGGGGAAGATATCTCCTCATCCAGCCTCATCTTATGCCACATGGGGAGAAGAGCACAGTAGGCTGCTGCTGCTGCCGTGCATAATGTGGCCACTGTCACCTCACATGCTGCATGCAAGGAACAGCAAGACACCCTGCATACAGACAGTGATACTGAGTGATCACACACTCCTGTCTGCCAGAGCAGCACATGTCAGGACATGATAGGAGTGAACTGTCTTGGTCATCATGACCAACTTCCATTATCTCTGCCATCTTCAATGTCTCCTAAGCCATAAAAGGCCTTGGAGGCTCTGTTCCAAAGATCCATGTTATAGCGCCCAAAGTCCTGTAACAGTCTGAGTACAGCAGCACTGAATCTTAAGCTTAATTAATAAGTTAGGACAGATCTTCTAAAATAAGAGCAGCTCTTTTATATTGTTCACTCAGAACTTTACTAGTAAAGCCATGCTCGGTTCTTCCTGCATTTAGATGGCTTGGTATTTCCCAGGTTGTTTCCCTTGTTCTCTCTGCTTCAGGATGAATTTTGTAGACTGAATCAAGTCTTCCTGCATTGCTGCTGAGTTTAAGGGTGAAATTTTGGTGAAATTTAGTGTGTGCTTGCTCTAAGCATATGTTGCATGAGGGCTCCACGTCCTTTTACAGAAGTGGCTCTGGATTAGTAGTAGCATGTGGTATTTGCTCTGAGCCAGAGAACTGAGGCACTTATCACCTGGATTCGGGTGGAACACAGGAGCTAGAGATAACAATTCTTTGATTAGTTGAAAGTAAAGAGCAGGAAGAGCTGTCAGTTTAATTCCATAACATCTGTACCTTATGCATGCGTGTCTATGGGCAAGGTGATCCAAGAAAGATGGAATTAAAGACTTTGAGAATTAGAAAGACTTTTGTCGGACCACACAGCAGAGGCTTGCAGGATGTCTTTGGGAACACATACTGGCATGTGGGAAGCCTCAGTGTATCAAGCTGGGATCAGCTTTTTTCTTCTTACCTGAAAATAAGCGAGCTATGGGTCAGAGTGTTGTGAATTCTTGCTATGTTGCTTTATGGTGCTCTCACTTCTCTGTATTCATTGCCAGTGATGCAAGATTTACTGTTTCTTTAACAAGTACACACTTCAATCGCTGTGCGTGTTCAGTGGCAGGGTCCTGTCAGCACTAATGCTGGCAGTTTTGAATGCCCTCCATCTCAAAGGTGCTGAAGGGCTGATCCACGAAGTCAGGAGATTAGAGGTGAGCTCACATTGATTTAGTGAACATTTGAGGATTATGGATATTTATCTTTGTTTGCATTCTTTGAGGATGACTAATGCAGGCTGAAAAGTAATACAGGTTGGTTAACTGCACCCTTTCAGGACAGCAGTCATAACACACAGGCTGTGGGTGCAGTATTAGAAGGCACTGCTACAAAAAGAGGTAATGATAGGTGAGAAAATGTTGAAACATCTTATTCTGAATTCATTGGGTTTTCTCTGAACATACTCAGAATGCCCATTTTCCTGTGTTTTGTGCTTGGGTGCTTTCTGTTGTTGAAGAAATGGGTTTTGAACTTGCAGCAATTCATCAAAACCTGGTTAAGGCTCTGAACAAAGATTTCTTCCCTTTCTTTGTAAGGTTTCTCAGTCCTACAGGTGAAAGTCTTGTGCATGGTGTTCACAGGGAGACTGAAAGCACCAACTTCAAAATAAGACTGAAATATAGTAACTGCTGCTTAGAGAAGGAAGCCAAACTACTTGTGAAGTAATCTAATCAGTGCTGACTGCGTTCCAGATGACTGCACAGCAGTACGTGCAAAGCCTAAACCAGTTCCAAAGAGCTAAGAATGCTCATTGGTACAGATGCAGTAAAAACAGGAGTTCCAGTTTATCACCCGATTACCTGTATCCATCCCTCACCTTTTGAAATGCACTGATGGAAATGCTTAGGCCAGCAGAGAGGGAGAATCCCCTCCCTCAACCTGCTGCTCACACTTCTTTGTTGTTAGGGGCACAGAGGAGGCCTGATTCAGTGACTAACTTAGCTTCAAAGGCTTATTCACACACTGGAAATAGCAAACCAGGGCTTCTCCTGGGTGAGCACTCTGGCTGTGGGGGTGCAGGATGAAGGAGCAGTGATGACTGCTTTGTGCCCAGCCCAACAGATACCTTGTGGAAACCCTTATCCCATTCATTAGGTTACCTTCTGGAAATCCTATCCCATTAGGTTACAGGACATGAAAGCAGTAGAAGTCTTCTCTGTGGATGGGAACAGCCACCCAGATACTCAGCAGTAGAGGACGGGTGAGTGAAAACATTAGGCAGCAGTGAAGTGAAGGTTTTAGGGCTATACCTGGTGAAAAAGCACCCATAGGTGGGAGCTCAGCTGCCCTAATCCTTCGGCTTCCCCAGAATGCAAAAGCTCTCTTTGCCTTTCTGAAATAGCAGACTCTTCCCATGTTAAAATGATAGCTGGAGCCCAGGCACTTACTTTTGCCTGGACAGTATCTCCAGTTTCCCCTCCTGTAACAGGAGTTGGTTAAGGATGGTTTGTTTTCCCTTCTGCACTTCTCATGCAGCAGGGAAAAGATTAGAGACATTTTTACAAAACAAATTTTCCTCAGGAGCTTCTGGGACCAATAACCATAAATTCCCTGGCAGCCTCCTACATCTTTGGCTGCATTTTTTTGTGTTCCCAAAGGGCTGAAGGGTTCCATGTAAAATTCAGCTCTGCCTTTTTTGCGTGTAGGAGAGGGAAGCAGCTAGACTGAGCAAGTGCTTAGTGTTGTAGCTACAGAAAGAACTTCACATTTGTCCAGTGACAATAAAAGAGAACACAGTAGTAAAACCACTGCCCTCTTTTTCATGGCTTTTTCCATAGAAACCATCTATTAGATTGATTTGTTTTTCAAATTCTTTTTATGGTTAAGAGCCAGCACAGAAGTCAAGTCCCTCAGCCTTAACAGATGGTCATAAATTCTGAGTTTTCTGTTTTGGAGCACTTCATTCAACAGAACTTCATGCCAGTTCAGCCTTACTGCCTAAAGCTACGAATTCTCAGAATGCCAAAGAAAATAGGGGCCACTGGTCCATTTGGGTAGCATTCAGACCTGTTCCTCACTGAGAATAGGAGTATATGTGACTATATATGACCAAGACAGGCTCAGAAAGTTGGGGCTGTTTAGCCTGGAGAAGAGAAGCTGTGTGGATACCTCAGAGCAGTTTCCAGTGTCTGAAGGGGGCTACAAGGATGCTGAAGAGGGACTCTTCATCAGGGACTGTAGCAACAGGACAAGGGGTGATGGGTTCAAACTGAAACAGGGGAAGTTCAGGTTGGAGATAAGGCAGAAGCTCTTCCCTGTGAGGGTGCTGAGGCGCTGGCAGAGGGTGCCCAGAGAAGCTGTGGCTGCCCCATCCCTGGCAGTGCTTAAGGCCAGGTTGGACACAGGGGCTTGGAGCAAGCTGCTCCAATGGAAGGGGTCCCTGCCCGTGGGTTGAAGCTGCTTGAGCTTTAAGGTCCTTTCCAACCCGAACCAGGCTGGGCTTCTATGTAGGAGAATTAGAGCCCTGTTTCTCCAAATTTTGATGTCCAGTGTAGTCACAGTGCTTTCAATGGAAACAGGATCACTAATAAAAAAAAAATATGGGATGCTTCAGCATATACCAAGCATTACCTACTTCTGTCCAGCCATTTGTACCTGCATATGGAGAATTTTGTACTAGAAGTGCCCGGCTTTGCTCAGTGTTGCCTCGCTGAACTGCAGTTTGCTGCCTTCCCATATTGATGACCTGTCGTCCTGCAGTAATTGAATCACAGTCCAATGGGTTTTCATGCCTCTGCTTTGATACCTACACACATATATCATCAGTTTTAACTTGAATATTCTTTTTTACCCTTTAGGACCTTCTGTCCTTCTCTCTCAGAGATGGTAAGTTCACTTTGCATTTGCTCTTTGTGAAAATAATGTAGATGAGTTTACATCTGGTACTTAAAAATGCTCAAAGAGCTCAAGGTACCATTCTGTTTAATCTTAGCTTCCTTTCTGGCAAAAGCATCACACTCTGTCCCTGCATCCACCTCAGGAAAAGCAACTCCTTTATTACAAATCATTAAACATACTTGTTAAAAATGGAGTTGTCTCCTTACCTTCACATGCATGTACTGGTATACAAATGTGGTGGCAGAGAAGTTCTGAACTGAAATACCCAGAGTGGGATGGGTTTTTTCCAGTGTTTCCAGGCGAGCAGGTGACCTCTTTCTTTAGGAAGGCAGGAAAGCTGGGAGGAAAATGCCAGCAGATTTTCTGCACATCACTTTTTGCCTAAAAAGAAAACCCACAACTATTCAGGGAATAAATTCCTGAGTGTCCTGTGGAACCCATTATAAATAAATGTGATTTTAGTCATCTGTGACATTACACATAAAACAATTTTCTGCTTTCCAGTCTGTACCATGGATTAGTCTGATAAACTTCATGAAATGGAGACTGCCTACTGAACAAACTGTTCATTTCTAAAAGTAGCCTGGTTTATATCACCACTTGCAGGGTTTAAATCCCTGTTTTCACATGTTCTCACAGGAATGAACTCACTGGGTGCTCATTAGCCTGTGTCACTGCAGAACAAAGTACCATTTTTGTGCTTGCTTTATTTTTCATGGAAAATTGACAAGGCAGTTATTGCAAAACTACTTATTTTGCTAAGCTGGAATTGAAAAGACATATATTTTCAAGCCTGGCTGATTTGCTGCCAAGCTGGCTGAGTAAAAAGCTAGGTTGTGGATTAGCAGACAGGAAGCAAGAAGGAAGGAACACATGCTTGGGCTTGCAAGATGTGACACATATCAGGGATGAAGTGAAGATAAATCCTTATCCTTATTTCTCAACCAAGCACAAATCTTAAAAGTAGTATCATTAAAGCTACCAGAGTAGTTTAGTATCTTGGTAATGATGGTAATAAACACATATACTTAATCAATTGCCCAATGCCATATTTGATCTACGTGCAGCGGGTATCAGAAACAGGTTTTGTAGTTGGTTCTTGCTGGTATCTTCCAGACACCCTAGACAAGCAATTGCATTTTCATCACAGAGTGCAGCAAGAGCTTTGTTAAAAGCCTCCTACTGGGAAGCAGCAGATGCTGCTGAAACAGATTCAGAAAGCAAGAGTTGGCACAAATCATTTAACATCTATTACACTGAAAATGTCTTTTCTTTAAGAACACCTGCTTATAAGCACAGGAGTAATCATTGCTCCTGTCACATGTTGTCTGAGTGCACTGTCCACTCCAGCACCTCCTGCAGCAAGGTTATACAGTGATGCTGCTAGGTGAGCTGGTGTGTAGCTTTAAACTCCTACTGCCAGCAAGATGAATTAAATATAAAGATTTTAAAGGTGCATTTTAAGCATATGATACCTTGCATTGGTGCATAGTTGAGGTGTACTGTGTCATGTTACACAATATATATTTGCTACTCCTAGCCTTGCTGAAGCATTTCTCTGTTGAGAAGGAAGATGCAGCCTATCCAGAGCCAAAAGGCCTCTGTCACAGAGGATAAGGGCAGAAGGATTTGAGATCCTCTTTCTGCCATAGAGGCAATTACCTGGTGCCGTGATTGTTTGCAGGAGGAGGTTTGCAGGGCAGAGGGTTTCCCATTTATCACTCTCTTCTCTAGATAATAGGAGTTGTGTTCAAAGACATGGAAGAAGAAGAGGACCCAAGGGAAGGAGCTGTGCTTGTATGTGACATGATCCTCTAGCACAGCCAAGTAAGCTACTTGCTGTTTAATCTGGTTGATGAAGGCTGATTGATTTCCTGCTCTTCCCTCTCTTTCAGGGCACTACGATGCTCGAGCCAGGGTGTTGATCTGCCACATCACCTGGCTGCTTAGAATCCCCTTGGAGGAGCTGGAAGTCCTGGAGGAATCTCTGCTTGAAAGCCTGAAGGAACAAAAAGAGGAAGAGTCAGAGTAAGAACATTTGGGTTGACTATGGAGTCTTGCTTGAAAGCTCAGCAGTAATCTCTTGTGCCTAAGTCCAGTCTCTGATCATTCCCCTCGTGGCCGTTAGGGTAATGATTTGTGGCTTGCTTAGGGTTGCAGAGCCCTCACAGCACTTGAGCTGCACTGAAGAGCAGGAAGGCTCAGCTGTCTTAAAATCTGAGCTGAGACCCCACCTTGCAAACTGGTAAGGGCCACTGCACATTGAACTACCTCATATCCTTGTTCCGGTTGTCTCTCCTAGGCTGTAGAGTCTTGTATGTCATCTCTTGTCCCAGTATCTTCAGCTAGAACTGCCTCTTGCAGAATGAAGTTCCTGTAAGTGTCAGGTTTAGATCCTCAGCTGCTCATTTCCTATGGATCTGTCCTCTGTGTCTGTTTGAAGACAGTTGTCCAACTCCTAATGATATCTGAGGGCAATAGCCTGCAACTTTAGATACTTGCAGATCTGACTCCTAATTCTGTGTTATTAATAGATCTATTCCCTAGATCACCACTTCTTGGATGTGAAACAGCCAAAACGTTGTTGGTATCTGTAAGAAATGTAGTATTTTTACATTCCACTTGTCAGGCAGGAATTGTGCAAAGGTTTAGCAATATGTGTGGCAGTAAATATGTCAATAGTGGACTTTCCAAGGGGTCATTGACTATTATTGCCTGTCAGCTCAGCAGACAGGCTATGAGATTAGCCTGAGTGCTAATAAAGGCTTTAATCAATGTCCCTGACACAGTACAGCTCAGATATTACCTTGGGAGTCCAAGCATGTGATGGGGACCTTTTAGTTAGAACTTTATTTAAGTAAAGCTTAACTTTATAGCACACTGTAAAAAGGGAAAGTCGGAATAATCTCAGAGATCATGTCCTGCTAAATAGGACACCATCTAGCATGCAGGAGCAAGGGTTGCTATTAATGGGGACTGTTTTGCTGTGACTTGTGGAAACGAACTCAGTCCTGGGCCTTTAGCACAGCAAAACCCCAGTACTGATGGTGGTAATTCTGTATTGACTGGACTGTGGCTGCTGTGGCACCGAAAGATGCAGCAGTGTGTCTGATAATGATGAGAGGCTGATGAATTATGCCACATATTTACAAACATGCCTTTCAAACACTGCAGCTAGCCCCAGTGGGTTTTGTGTATGGTGAAAACCATGGATTTCACTCTTGTTCTTTGCCCAAATTGCAGCCATGGAAGTAAATACCTATTATATAAAAGGAAAAAAAATGTCTTTATAGTGAGAGTCCATTTCTGCAGTGCTAAAACAAGGCAGAGATTTGTGGGGAATCCATAACCCTTTGCTTATTTTAAAATTAGGAGTCAATGGGGAAAGAAAGGAGAAAATGAACCTGTCAGCACTTTGACCTCACAGACCTTTTGGAGGCAGGGAGTACATTAATACCTGCTCAGGATGCTTCCAGCGTTGACCATCCACTAGAAGAGGTTTTGTAACAGTAACAGCCAAACAGGGTTTTGGCAGCTTCTGCGTAGGTTTTTTTTACTGGTATTTGTCCTCCTGCCTTTGCTGCTGAGGATGTGTTGGACTGTGGCCCAGAACCTGCAAGGTTAAATGTACAATCCTCTGTAGAACAATGCTCCAAACACTTAAATCCATATTATCAACACCAGTCCTGTCCTGACTTGCAGGTATGAGCCTCTCTTTGTTACAGGGTTCTGTAAGAAACTGGAAAACAGGACATCAGTGGCTCACTCATGTGTTCTGCCACTTTTCATCACTGGAAAATGACCTGAAATTCCACCTGTAAAGTCTTTCTGAACATAATTTGTGGTTCAGGCAAGAGGCTGCACCACCAAGATCACTGAAGGTAGAGAAGTATGAGAAGAGGCAGTTAATTACCACAGTGGATAAAAAGCAGTAATCAAGGGATAATTGTAATGCAGAAGCTATTAGGGAAGCAAAAGCAGTTGCTAACAGCTACAGAAGGAAAGCAATGCGGGTAAAACTTCTCATGACGGTAGTTTTACTTACTGCATCTTCAGGTAGGATTTAGCTGCAAGCTATCTTTATAATAACACAAATTGCTCATTATTAGAAATAAAGGTGTATTTCAGCTCTCTGGATTTCATTACTTTCAGCCTAAGACAACAGCACATTGACTATAAAAGCTGATGAACCACTCTGCAGAACAGAAATTGCTGGGTATTGCCAACTTAGGTATTAACAGGCTGCGGCAGTTGTTTGAAGAACACCAGGAATGGTTTCTTCCAAAGCCAGCATTCTGATGGGGGACTGCATGCACAAACCAGGGCACATCCAAACTCCTCTTTAACCATGGGGGTGTAGCAAGTGAACTTAGTTATACTTAGAAACCACAGAAGTACCCACTGCAGGCTGCAGTGTTGTTCTCTGCAGACAGTTAATGTCTGCAGCTGCAAAAGGTAATACATGATGGAGGCTTTTTTGGAGCATCTTTGTGGAGACAAAGCCTCGGTGCCATGCAAGTCAGTGGTTGTTCTGCCGCTGACTTCAGCGACGCAGGGATTTCACCCACTGTGCTTCATTCTCCTCCTGCTGTGTTGTACAAAGCTGTATATTGTTTGGGACTCATCTCAAATTGTCTTTATCAAAATTACAGTGTGCTTAGGGGGTTCCAGGAAGGATTAGGCAATTATATGGATAATGGAAGTCCACAATTAGGCTAGGATTACGAGGGAAAATATCCAAGTTTGGAAGCAAGATAAATTCTCATGTTTCAAGGCCCAGGTTAACCTCTGCGTAAGCAGGCTGGAAAGAATCTTCCTCTGTAAACAACATATTCCCATGTATTCTGTTTCTTGCACTTCCTTGAAGGGGGAAGCATTTCTGGTAAAAGAGAAATGAAAGACAGTGGAGAGAAGCCAAAAGTAGTGCCTAATAAGTGATATTTGGTCCTTTTAGGTCAAATTAGCTATTCCTGATAAGCCTGTTAAAATGTAGCTTAAATGCACACAGACAAATGAACTAATGACTGTTTAATACCTATTCTATTATTACAGTGCAATCCGAAAGCAGCTCAGCATACACTCTGTTGATGGGAAATAGTTCAATTCAGTGTTTGCTAGTCCAAATTCCCCCTATTCCCTTTTGTTCCAAACACTTTTCCCTGTTCCCACTTCACTTCTTGTATTAGTTTAAAACACATAGGCAGTATATAGTTATTGAAATGGCTTTGACTTTTTGTTTCTTATTTCTTACAAGCCTCATCCCTATTAGGAAGGATTTTCCAAGTAAGTAACATCTGTTGGCTTTTGTCAGCAATTAAATCCTTTCAGTGTACATCTGTGGGTTTATGTCCATGCTCATGAATCTGAGTGTGTTGTCACAGTCCACACCTGCATGCTACTTTTTATTGTTCCCAGTTGGGAGGTTACACTGAGGAGAATAAAAGCAGGTTCTGGTGCAGCAGTGTAATCCATCAGGCTTTTCCATCAGTGTTTGTGATTCTAATCCCCATCCAGAACTGCAGAAGCAGCAAGAAAAAAGAAGGAAAGAAGGAGGAAGCTGAAGAGGTACCTGCTCATTGGCCTGGCAACCGTCGGAGGTGGAACAGTGATCGGTGAGGCTGCCCCAGACAGTTTGGAGACCTGCAGGTCTGAACTGCATGCACAGCACTAGGGGCAGAGAGGGGAGGCTACGACTGAATTACACACCCAGCAACAGAAACGATCACACCTTTGAGCCCAAGCTCTAGTTTTAAAACATTCACTGCTTTCCTTTGCCAAACTGAAGACAGTATGTTGCTTCAGATAGCAAAAACCCACCCTAATCATCCAACCAACAACAAAAACCCCCACAGCAACAGAAGAAACCCCAAATCCAAGAGAAGTTTCATCCACACAACTCTAAAAAGGAAACAATTAGCTGGAAAAGTTATTCCAGGGTAGCTTCAGTGGCTGGGGGAAGTATTACACTGAGGTTGTCACCCTTAAAACATGTTTTCTCCTTTTTCACTCTTACCCTGTGTGTTATTAGAGGATCAGATCTTCAACTCTCAACTCAGAATAGAGTGAGACTAGATCAATATTTCCTAAGCAAACAGGGCACAGCTCACCCCAGGCTACCTCACACTCTTCCTTTGACTTTCATTTCTGCTGAAGTCAGTCAAAGAATCTGTGCAGAGACTCAGGGCCTGGGGAGGGTCTCAGAAAGCCCCTTTGTCAGTGATGCCAAAAAGAGCATCATCTGTACTCGTCCAGTAGCATTAGGAGCACTCACACAGCATGGGGAGTCAACTGCCTGATTTTAGAAGTCATGATAATCTAGTGATGTTACTTGTTGCATCTTCAGGCTTGACAGGGGGTCTTGCTGCCCCTCTGGTTGCGGCAGGAGCTGCTACAGTCATCGGAAGTGCTGGAGCAGCTGCTTTAGGTTCAACTGCTGGAATTGCTGTCATGGCATCGCTTTTTGGAGCAGCTGGAGCTGGCCTTACTGGTAAGAGGGTGACCACACATTTCTCAGCTACTGAGGCACAAGATCACATGATCATAGAATATTTTAGGTTGGAAAGGACCTTAAGCTCATCCAGTTCCAAACCCCTGCCATGGGCAACCTTTCACTAAATCAGATTGCTCCAAGCCCTCTCCAACCTGGCCTTGAACACTGCCAGGGATGGGAAATGAAGGAAATGAAAGCTTGCTACTCTAGGTTAGAAAGATGCTGCCATGGAAAGCAGCAGCTCCTACATCTGATGCCTGGTCTGCAGCAAAAAAGCCTTCTGCTGGTGTTGCTTCAGATCGCACAAGCTCAGAAGGATCAGGTTGGCTCCATACCAAGTTCTAAGTAATGCATGGACTAGCTGAGGGTTTTGGAAAGGGAAAACCAACCCTATCCAAGTTATTCTGAACTTCTACTGTTAGCGGAGTCTGTCCTTGCTGTGTGATTTCTCTATTTGTATTTCTGCCTTGCTGTTTGTAGGGTACAAGATGAAGAAGCGTGTGGGAGCCATAGAAGAGTTTGAATTCCTCCCACTTACGGAAGGAAAGCAGCTTCACATCACCATAGCAATTACTGGATGGCTGTGCGCTGGCAAATATGGTAAGAATAAGATGAGGAAACCAAGAGAGGGATGAGAGCCATGTCTGGGTCCCACTCCAGGCAGTGTTTGTGCTCTCGTAGCCATGGCTTCCTTACACTTGCATGGCCTGGTGACTAAAACAGAGCCCCTCTCAACATGAGACTTTGTAACCCAGTTTGCAATCGCAGTCAAAACAGAGGAAAGAGAGAGGACACTAAATTGGTAGTGATGATAGGAGTGCTAGTAAGAACAGGATTGTTTGTGTTGATAAATGCTATATGGTTTAGCCTGGAAAGGACTGTTTGGGGTGTTTCATTTCCAGCACTAGTACAAAGTGTCTCACCTAGCTTGGAGACCTTATGTTTCTCCTCCAGTAATTAACAGGAAAGAGTATCTTTCTCCTGTCTCAGTGTCTGCCACCTAATGAGCTTTATTGGCAAGAAAGTTCTGTCAAGTATAGCCTGTTAAACACAACAGGAGTCAACTTCAGACAGCAACCTTAAAAGGTCTGTAGTGTTTTGTTTGCCAATACAGCTTGTCACATAAAATATGCCAACTGTCTGCTGATAGGTTCAGAACCTAACTGAACAGCTGCCAGTTTCTTCCATAGCCTCTTAATTAACACTGGGTATCATTAATGCAGAAAGATATCTCTGTCCTCCCCCTTGTTAGGTTGCAGCTTGCCGTCAGATTAAGGTTATTTTCACTTCGCAGTACTGTGCTTTGGTTTCTCTCATTGTCTGCTTGCCAGGGATCCAGATCCTCAGGGTTGGAGGGTTCCCAGGCACTGTTACAAAGACAAGTGTGCCCCTTCAGGAACCCTTCTGTGTCTGTTTGCCCTTAAAAGGGAGTTACAAATGACACACATTCTTTTTCCATAACTAGCAATCTGCTATAATGTTTTCATAAGCAAAACTAGGATTGTCATCCCTTTTCCTCCTTACAGCTGTATCTGTCTATTTACACACTCCCATAACCCCTTAAAACAGGATGGCATTTTTAGGGAATTCACTGCCTTGTGAGTTTTGAGCTCCCAGAAGCTGCCTGTCTGGATGTTCACAGAGCTGAGAGTATATCGTGGTATGATCTGGCGTGGGGCTCTCTGTCCTGCATCCTTTGGAGAAGGGGTTAACACCTGGAGGGAAAACAATTCAACTGAAGCAGCTGAATGACAAAGTAAAACTAACAGCAGTCTGGATGTGCTTGTTTTCAGACAGGGTCATTGCTGCACTCCTTGCCCACCTCACTCAAGTGCTGGGAAGCTGCTCTGCAGTGGATTTTGATAAGATCTTCTGTGTTTTCCATGCCTTTGGTGCCATTGAGCTCAGTTCACACAGCCATTCACCACTCATCTTTCTCAGGACAGGCCCTCCTTTGGCCTACATTAGAAGGTGGAGCTGCAGGACTCAGCCTGGTGGCTGATGATAGGAGGAATGTCCTTAATACCTGACATAATTAGTGTTAATGTCCATCTGTCTTGGCAGTCTCTGAGTCAATTGAATGGGTCATGAATTCTGAGCCTGTCCATGCTGAAGCCTCTTTGCCAAGGCAGCTAAAGCTACACAATTACTTACAGAGACCAAAACCAGTGCAAATACAGAGGCTAAATCTTTATTTTTAAATATGATTCCTGATTTTCACAGTAGATCAGTGCCTTCCAGGTTCTTTTCTGATTCTCTGTTGGGCTCATCCAGCCAGGGTGAGCTCTTGTAGCCATGGCTTCAGACATGACTTCCAGGAGTTAGCCACTGTTGTGCTTTCTCTGACCATAGATTCCATCTTTGCAACCTTCCTCAGGGAGCTTCACAGCACCATGGAGCAGCATGTTGCAGTCGAGTGAGCAGTATTGTCTGGCCTGGGAATCCAAGTACTTGATGGAGCTTGGCAATGCCTTGGATACCCTGCTGAATGGTTTTGTGAACATGATGGCTCAAGAAGCCCTAAAACTTACTGTCTTGTCAGGTAAGGACCTAAATCACATCAGATGCGTTCGAGTGGCTCTTGTTCAGTTTCAGTGTTGGTGTCTGTTTAAAGGAGTGGCTGAGATCCTCTGCCACACCTATAGTTTAGATTTGCTTTCTTGTCCTGCTGTGCCTCTGTGTCATTGACTCATTCCTTCAAAATGACAGCTGGAAACACCTTTCTTGATGTGTGACTGTGTTTATTTCTCTCTGTTGTTACACTGGCTTTTACTGCTTTACATAAAGCTTTCAGACATGCAGGTTACATTCATGCACAGTGTCTGTTTGTCTCCATATCAGAACATCAGCTTCTTTCTTATCTTCCATCTAGCAAAACATTGCTTAGATCAGCTCTTGAGAAAGAAGAAACTGGAAATGACAAGTTCCCAGGTTTAGCTTTCAACTTCAGTGACCTGTCTTGCTTTTGACGTTTCCCAAGAGCAGCCCCAATTTGTGACTGTGCTGTGCTGTTTGCTTTGTGTGTGGCAGGTATTGTGACAGCTTTGACTTGGCCAACCTCGCTCTTGACTGTTGCCAGTGTCATTGACAACCCCTGGGGAGTGTGTCTCCATCGCTCTGCTGAAGTAGGCAAGCACCTAGCACATATCCTGCTCAGTCGACAGCAGGTAACTGGTTAGAAATGATCCAGGAATAATGGCTGGAAGGGGTATGGCCTGTGGAGGTTAAGTTTTATGTCATGCTCCTTAACTCTCAAGTGTTATCTTTCCAGAGACAAAAAAACCTACTAATAATATGAAAAAATGCTGCATGAATCTGGTTCATTGGGGAAATAGGAGATCCCAAGTAAATCAGAGATTTGTACCATTTAACCTAAGCTTTTCTAATTGAAGAAGAGGAGATCCAGGTCATAATTGACAAGAGGCTTGACCAGCTCACAAAACAGCCCAGCCAATGCACCTAGTGGAAACCTGAGGACAGAAAGTAAAGATAGGTGAAAAGAGAATAAAGAGTGTTAAAAATGCACCCTGATAAATACAAGGAAAGGCAATAAACTTGATTTCATACGAGCCCTTTGATTTGCTTGCAGGCATTTGTTTCTGCCTTTTAAGCATCCTTTATTGTGAAAACACACATTCCAATGTTGGGAGCATCTCAAACTAGACAGCTGATGGCTAAAGAGTCCATTGCACACCTACTCCCTCCTTAACACAAAGAGCATTTTATGTTCTTGTTGAGATTAGACTCCCTTAGATCTCACAGAAAATCTCATTAGCTTACCCCACATCATTTCTAGAACAACCACACAGTGCTGCTGTCACTCCGTCTGAAATCTAGAAGTGGTCAATATTTTTGTGTTACACCTTCTTCTGTTCATTGAAACATTTCTAGGAAGACTTTGCTCCTTCAATTAGGCTTTCATTTGGAAACCTCAAGCCAATGACAGCTTCTGGTTTGTTTCTGTTTGAAGCATCTACTTTGTTGTAACTTGTGATCATTAGATGATTTCAATTGACTTTTTGAATAGCAAAAAGATATCAAATTTCAAAGTGTGTTTTGTAGATCAGGGTCTTGGGGATCACCTAGCCAGTCTCTCTTTCTGGGTCTAGGATAGTATTTTATGGCATTTCTTCCTTTCCTTTCTTAGGGCAAGCGACCTGTCACACTGATTGGCTTCAGTCTGGGTGCAAGAGTCATTTACTTCTGCCTGCAGGAAATGGCTCAAGAAAAAGGTAAAACTCACCTTCTAACCTTTTCCACCTTCATTTTCCTTACTGCCAGTAGAGAAGGTTTTCTTCCAAGAGAATCATAGAATCAAATCATGGGATGCTTTGGGTTGGAAGGGACCTTAAAGCTCCTCCAGCTCCAACCCCTGCCACAGGCAGGGTCCCCTTCCACTGGAGCAGCTTGCTCCAAGCCCCTGTGTCCAACCTGGCCTTGAACACTGCCAGGGATGGGGCAGCCACAGCTTCTCTGGGCACCCTGTGCCAGCGCCTCAGCACCCTCACAGGGAAGAGCTTCTGCCTTCTATCTACAGAAGAGAAAGAGTTCTGGAACAGAGCTTGGGTCTTCTAGTATAAGACAAAAGCCTTAAACAAAAAAGTTTTGAAATGCATTTGGAGCCCAATTCTCCTGTCACTTCCACAGATTCAGTGGATTAAATCCACTGTGCTCACTCGAGGTGCTCAGTGTGTCAGTTTGGTCTCCAGTCTGTAAACAACAACTTGACATTTAGTGACATTCAGCTGCTGGATCGGTCTGTGAGCTGCCCACACGATGCTGTGATCTTGGCAGAGGATGGCTTGCCTTTATTGGAAGCTCTCTGTAGCTATTGTAGCTGATTCCCTGAGTCCTCCCTTCCATTTAAGTCACTAAAATGCCACTGTCATCTGCTATTTTCATGGTAATTTTTCCCCAAAGTCAAGTATAAAACCATCTGTCAATTTATTACCCATTGTGGTTCTGTTTATTAATAGATTCTATTTTTGATTTAGAAAGAGAATAAAATCATGATGATCAGTTGATGTAAATTGCATCTTGGAGTTGAGTCAGTAGTGAGTGTGTGCCTGCAGCCTTCCCCCTCTGTGGCAGTTTACTTCATTAACCATCCAGCCTCACAACGAGCCCCTAATAAATAAAGAGCTTTATAAAGGAAAATGTTCAATAAAGGCCAAGAAGGTGGGAATAGAGTCAAGTGAGGACAGAGCAGGTCAGCAGTTTCTCTCTTGACAGCTGTGTACCAGAACTTCACTTCTGGTTTCAGATGTGAGCCTTCAAAACCAGGAATCCTGGCCTCAAAATAAATCTAATCAAATCCAGAATGATCCTAATGGAGTTCTCCCAAAGCCAGAACCCAGATCCTAATCTGGCCCTAAATCTACTCTTCTTGTGTCCAAAGAATGCCAAGGGCTGGGATATTTCCAGGTTTTTATTTAATGGTGTGCAGCCTGTTGCTGGAATAAGGGGACTGTAGCTAAGGAATACAGGAAAGGAAATCATTAGGGGTCTTTAAGGTTGGCTGCCATTCTAAGGAAATCTTGCACTGTAATTATGTATCAGAGCAGCTCCCCACTGCACAGTGATCTTTCAGTTCCTTAATTGAATTATGAAAGCTGAGCTGTTGGTGAGATGAAAAGCAGCATGTTCAGTGCACATTGCCAAGGCCTTCTTCACATGCACATTCCAGCGCAAGCCACAGAAGGAATGGAGCTGGGACCTGAAACATCTGAGACTCGTTTGGGTTTGGGCTTGGATGTCTAACACAAAAGGAATACAAGGCCTAGACATGCAGCCTTTTGTATCCAGATGGCAGTGGCATTTCTGAGGACAAATAGCTAAGCATGGATTATCCAGTGAAACACCATGGCAGAAACTCAGATGCTGTTCACAGAAAACACTCTTCTGCAAAGCAATGAAATAACCTTTGGGATAGCTGATCACAAATGACTGGAAGCCAGATTCAGGAGGTTTTCAGATAATGGTATTAGAGCAGAAGATGTAGAAATTGACCCATCAGAGGCAAGTTACTGCATAGGGTGGTTATTGGTCATATTTCTTCATCACAATTCCCATGCATTTAGTGAATAAGAAGAGTGAACTATTGATAATGGCTGTTACCACCAGAACCTGCACCTTGAAACCAAACTGGGTGACGAATCACAGGGTACTCATTTATCTAATGCTGAAGAAGTTCTTCCCTGTGAGGGTGGTGAGGAGCTGGCACAGGGTGCCCAGAGAAGGTGCCCAAGGACTTTGAATCTCATTTAGCTCCATGGTATCACTCTTGATCTCTCTTTACCAACATGATTTATGAATAGATATAGATATAGTGGTTGGGATTTTAGGGAAGTAGCAGAGCTGCGCAAGATTTCTCATTCAATCACGATTTCTACTGGAATTGCCCAGCTGTGGCTGTGTGATAAGAGGAAGATTTATTATGCATCAAAGTCAACATTCCTTTTCAGCAAATCTGCCCCATCCCTGGCAGTGCTCAAGGCCAGGTTGGGCTGGGCTTGGAGCAAGCTGCTCCAGTGGAAGGTGTCCCTGCTCGTGGCAGGGGGTTGGAACTGGATGAGCTTTAAGGTCCCTTCCAACACAAAGCAGGCTGGGATTCTATGATCTTACCAGGTTTTATTTTTTGCCCCCCCCCTTCTTCATTTTTCTGCCTATGCAGTCTTTCTTGTTCTTCATCATAGAACAGTTTTGCAAACTGGGAAATAAGAGTGTCAGCACTGTAGAGGTCAGTGATCTGTTCTCAGGTTTCTGTCAACAATTCAAAGTGTGTATTTTTCAAGCATTTTAGTTCTAAGCAAGAAATAAGCTGTACAAAGCACTGGCGAAACCAAACCTTCCAATGCCTTGCCCAGATGTCCAGGATGCTGATGAATTAGCTGTGTGTTTATTCAGTTGGTTCACACTATGGCCAGGGAATTTAGTACCTTGGTTGGAACAAGCTCCCCATTTGAGAGGCTTTGGGTTTCTTTTCTTTTTGGCTAAGCTCTCAGTGTCTTTTCCATTGCCCATGATTGCTGGGAGCAGGACTTCATTGCTCACAGATTACAGTACCAAAATGGAATTGCTCTTCGCTGTTCCCCATTGGTGCAAAATTTGCTTTGCAATAAGAAATAATACCACAACAGCTCTCTCGGATTGTTGGCAGGTGATGGGATTTACACTGCAGAGAAAGACCCAGGCACTGCATGCAGCTCCGAGTCCTTTCCTGCTATCAGGGGAAGGAAACCAATTGATTTACATATAAAAAACCAAGTCAGGCAGCACCTCCCCATCCAAACTTGAGGTGCTATGCACTCATTCCCACTTTCACATCCCCACAGACTTCAGCATACAGCTTACAGCCTGCAAAGGCCAGCCTGGGAATGGTTTGGCTCACAGCTTGTGCCTGCTGGGCTCCCAGGACTGGAGAGTATGGATTTGGCATGCTGTGCCCATGAGCCTCCAAGGACTCTGAATTTCATTTAGCTCTATGGTATCACTCTTGATCTCTCTTTACCAACATGATTTATGAATAGATATTAATAGATATTGACTGGGATTTCAGGAAAACAGCAGAGCCACCCCAATTTTCTCATTCAATCATGATTTCTACTGGAATTGCCCAGTTGTGGCTGTCTGACAAGAGGAAGATTTATTATGCCTCAAAGTCAGCATTCCTTTTCTGCAAATCATGCCCTGGGCACCGAGGTTAAAGTGCCCTTCATGAAAATCAAACAAATTTGATAGATTATCAAAGTGGGTCTGGAGAGTCCCCCACTGCAACCTGCATCCAGCACAAGAGGGACCTGGAGCTGCTGGAGCGAGGCCAGAGGAGGCCATGGAGATGCTGCGAGGGCTCGAGCAGCTCTGCTCTGGAGCCAGGCTGAGAGAGCTGGGCTGGGGCAGCCTGGAGAAGAGAAGGCTCCTGAAGGGGAGACCTCAGAGCAGCTCCAGTGCCTAAAGGGGCTGCAGGAAAGCTGGAGAGGGGCTTGGGACAAGGGCCTGTAGGGACAGGCCAAGGGGAATGGCTTGAACCTGCCCGAGGGGAGACTGAGCTGAGCTCTTAGGCAGAAGCTCTTCCCTGTGAGGGTGCTGAGGCGCTGGCACAGGGTGCCCAGAGAAGCTGTGGCTGCCCCATCCCTGGCAGTGCTCAAGGCCAGGTTGGACACAGGGGCTTGGAGCAAGCTGCTCCAGTGGAAGGGGTCCCTGCCTGTGGCAGGGGTTGGAACTGGATGAGCTTTAAGGGGGTTGGAACTGGATGAGCTTTAAGGTCTCTTCCAACACAAACCATTCCAGGCCATTTCTCCCTCTTCCCATCAGTCTTCCCCCCTTCACTATGTCAGGATTTCCAATTTTCACAGTTACTGTCTCCAGCTTGAACTGCAGACACAGAATTTATGCAGAATGATGTTCAAGATCCTCCTTTCCGCTGCTTCTGTCTTTAAATCACAGAAGTGATGATTTTTCCATAGTACACATCAGAACCTACCCCCTCCTTCACGGATGTGTTAAAATACATTTCCTGATCTGTCTGCTCAATCTGAGCTGTTCTACTTTCATCTTTACAGACTTCCAAGGCATCATTGAAGATGTGGTCTTACTGGGAGCTCCAGTGGAAGGAGATCCCAAGTACTGGAAGCCTATTGCAAAAGTGGTGTCGGGCAGGATCATAAATGGTTACTGCAGGTCTGTATGTGCTTCATTGTCCTGGTATCACTTTGAGATTATTCCATTAATTTATCTCTTTTAGACTTTTGTAAGTGAGTAATTGTTCAGCTGGTGAGTGCACTGATTCAATAGCACCAGAGATGGCAAGTGTCAGAGCCTCTTCCTGCTGAGGGTCTCTCCCTCAGATCCATTTGGGTGCCAGTCTTCAGGAGACACTGAAGGCTGGTCTGTGTCCAGCTCTGCTCTCTGTGGTGCAAAGGAAGCCTGAGGTGCTCAGTGTGTGTGTCCTGTTTGTACAGTGGCTGTGTTATATCAGCTTAAAGCTGGGTCAGTGTGTTTGTGTGCATCATTTGACATATTCTAAGGCCCCTTTCAATCTCAGCTTGGTGTAAGGGATTACAGATACAGCCCTTTAGTTCACTGACAGTTAAAGAATGGGAATTAAAATCTAAGAAAGCTTTGAGATACAATTCACCAGGGACTGCTCGTGGGGAGCAAGCTGTGAAAATTGCAATGGAAGGGAAGGAGCTCAAGCAAATTGATGACCTTTTATATCTAGAGTCAGTTTCTGGTCAGGATAGTCCATACGACCAAGGTATTTTACTTACAAAGGAGATACAGTTGGAATAGTTGTACTAAATTTACTAAGGATGGAGAAGAATAGAAACATTACCTTGAGACCAAATAGCAGCCTTTAACACTGCTTTGCAGAGTGTGCTGGGTGAGGAGAGGGAGATTCAGAGGCATGAAACAGCTGAAGCAATCTTATAAAAGCTAATTAAGAATTCAAGTGATGGTATCAAATCTAATGACTCTGTGTTGGGAGATAATTGTGACCAGAACACTCCTTACCACCACAACTGGAAAAGGGGAGATTAAAATGAAGGAACGAAGCAGGGAAGGCTAAGAGTATGGAGAAAATAAAGTGAGAAATAACCAGGCAAGAAGGTTGTCAAAGAACATGTAACTGCAAGTCAAGGCAGCCTATAAAGCCATGAGCCTGGGTTAAGGAGGGCTGAAAATGCTGCTGGTACTTTCTGTACACACATACATGTGTATTTCTATGTGTATGTAGGTGTAAGATGAGGTTGTAGATTGTTGCTTTTGTCCTTTCTGGATCACAGGAAGTTTTACAGCTGCTGGAGGTGCAAATAACTGAGAGGAGTTCTGCATGTGACAGAAGGAAAAGGCAATTCCTGCCTCCTTGGGAGTGCTGCTGGGGTCCTCCAAGCAGCCAGAAATGCTGGATGCAGTTGTAGCATGGAACTGAATTTGCCCTGGCAAATATTCTTCCTCCTGTGTTATACAAACCCCAATTTCACTCCAGAAAGCTTGGTGTATTCATTTCCTATAATACGAAATCCCCCCACAAGATCCTGTTATAGTTCCAAAGTCTGCATGTGCTGTTGGAATAAAACAGTGTGTGTGTTTGTGCCTCTGTGTGTGCAGTAATTTGGTTTGTCTCTGCTTTGCCAAGCCCATGAATCGAAGGTTGAATGCAAAATGATGTAGAAATTGTAGCTTGTTGCTCCCGAACAGGATGAAGCAGGTGAGGAGCCTGTCACCGCTCTGCTGGTTCTACACTTTGCCCTCAGTGCTGGATTTGAGGGTTATTAAGTTAGCAAGAGGGCAGCTGGAGGAGGTAACTGAGAGATAGGGAGAACTTACGTGAGTCTATTAGATATGAGAGAAGGATTATACAAAGATTTAGTGGTACAACCTCACCTGATTCTGATGCCTCTGATCACTCACTCATACCAATTGTGGCTTTGTTCTGTCACCTTGGGAGTAACTGTATTTAGATCAGGTGAGTTACATTGAATAGAATTCCTGCACGATCAGATGTGGGCCCAATTTCACAGATTCATACAGTTGCTCGGGTTAATTTGTTGAACTCCAGGCCAGTGTGACTTGTCTCCTTCAGCTCTGAAGCCTGAGAGGACACAGAGAGTGAAAGCCAACTGTCAGAGCTGGCCCATCCCATCTCACAGTAGGGTTACAAATTCCTAGTGGGAAACCTTAACCAAATGAGTCAGACTCACTCAGCCTTTGAAAGAACCCGTGCTTGAGTAGCAAGGATGCATTGCAAAGGTTTTGCAGAGCTGTGTAGATCTACGACTTCTAGCATAGACCATCTTGGAGTGGACAGGAGCAGCTAGAAACAGCGCCTATGCAGGTGTATTTCACCTCCTGCCATCACCGAGTACAAACACCACAGCTTAAATCTACTCCACAGTACTTAGGTGCACAGATTTTACACTGTTGCTCAGCCCAGGAGGTTATTGCCAAAGGACTTATCATGCTACAGTCCACCCTGACACTGCTGCAGTGACTTAGGGCTATGCTATACAGTGGGGACAGACTCTTCCTTATTCTGTCATTGCAACCATGTGTTTGTACTGTACCTCTAAATCAGGAGCACACCGAGGAGCTTCACAGTTGATCTTTATGTCAACAACATTGGTGGTGTAGGCCTCATCGCATTGGCAGCTCTCTACAGGCTGGGGAATGTCCTACCTGTTAGTACATTAAAAAGGTTAAATATGGGAATGTGTTGCAATCTCTAAGCAAATACAGGAAGAAATAGAAGGGTCAGATTTTTAAACCTACTGCACATAATAGAGGCTACACCCATGGCTCAGGATTCAATTCAGACTTACACAACCATGGCCTAGGAACCTGCTGTGATCTCTACAAATCACTTGGCTTTGGCAACAGGATTTATTCACGCTCTTCTGCTCTGCTCCTAGGGGGGACTGGCTGCTGGGGTTTGTGTACAGAACCTCTTCTGCCCAGATCAATGTTGCAGGCCTCCAGCCAGTCGACCTGGAGGATAGGAGAATGGTAAACATGGACCTTTCATCTGTAGTAAGTAATACTTCTGATTTTCTCAGTGTTTCCTTTGCTTGTGACACTGCAGCCTCACAGTCATTGATGAGAGGAGAATGGGATCCTGAAGAGAGCACCTCTGTGTGCTTCCCGTCCCTGCTCATCTCACACTTCACTATAGATTTGGTTGCCCAGCCAGCACTCAGTATTGAGCAAAACAAGGAGAATCTGACTCTCTTTTAGGGTATTTTGGGGATTTTTTTTTGTTGTGAAATACCTCATCCTGGAGACAGAAAATGCCATTATCTCCAAAAAAGATCCTGCTGTCTTGCAAGCCCTGCAGAGGGCACATAGGTGGGATCAGCAGCTGGGAAACCCGGAGCTCAAACACTGCAGTCTGCAGCCTTGTCTTGGTGGAGCCTTCAACACCATTCAGGTCCATACAGGGACAAGTCCATAGACCTTGTACCTTGGTCCCCTGGGCTGCACTGGTGCTGTGGTGCAGGAGCCAGTCTCTAATTGCAGCAGCTCTATGATGAGTTGTTGGAGGTCTCCAGGAAACAGAGATACTCACCCATGTGCCATCAACTTCCTCAAAGCTATCTGGTGTCATTAATGAAAAGCCACTGGATTACATGTCTAGCAATATTCAACTCAACTACCTTAAGCAAACTAATGATCTCATTGCCTTGTCTTCACTGATGAGTGAGCTCTTTCACAGGAATTCATGCAGAACTTCCTTGTTTATCCATATTCACAGTGATCTTGGACACACAGTTCTTCTTGTGCCACATCTTCATGTTTTAGTTCATTCTTCACTCTGCAAAGTGGATTGGAAGATGCTGCAGTTTGAATGTCCCCACCGTCAACACTGCTCTGGAGCCAAAAGCACTCTTAAGTGCTTTCACACTTGTTGGCACACCAGCCTATAAGTACACAACTGTTACCTGCTCATTTCATTCATTATACCTGAGCCATGGCCAGCCCTTGCCAGAAAATACAGGGCTTACTGCTCTACAGATCAAATGCAGAACAAACTAGAGGCTTCCCAGAAGGAAGTGCTGTAGTAAAGGCCCAGCACTGTTGCTTTTCCTGTATCTTTGCATCTCACTGGGTTTTCTAGGTTTGCATTTCCACATGTGCCCAGAGGCAAGTTCTTCCCCATCCCCAGAGCTGCCATTAGTGAGCAGTGACATCTGTTGCTGGCATGAAAAGAATGGCCAAAGGTGTCAAATGCTGTTGGCAGGGGGCTGATTCCTGTCAGCTCAGCCCGTGTTCCTCTCCTCTTTTTGACTTCTCTTCAGAAATCCTCTTTCTGTTGACTTTCTGCTTCCTGCACTTTGAATTCCCCAGCGCCCTGCAGACTCCCTCCTGCCTGGCTGGCAGCAGCCCCAGTGCCCCCAGAGCTGCAGTATTTACAGCTCTAAATGAATAAGCTTGCAGAGCTGCTATCTGCTCATCTTCTGTTGCTGTGCATCTGTACCCATGCTGCTTGATGCCAACAGGCAGCCCAGCACTGCTCTCCTTTCAGAGGGAGCTGACACTTGCACTTGCTTCATCTGGCTGCAAAGCACTGGGGTTGGAAGCAACTCCCACAGGAGGAAAAGCCTGTCCTGATGAGGTGTCATTGTCTTGATCCATTTTCCAGACCATGGAGCTTTATGAAAAGAATTACAGAACACTCTGATGAACATTTGACAAGTGAAAGGAGCAAGAATGGGAAGGAAACACTCAGGGGCAATCTGTTTTAAAGCAAAGATAGATTTTGCTGCAAGCACAGTGCAGAGTTTCTGCAGTGGGGACTGGCTCCACCCCTACAGATGCCTTTGCAGGATCCCATCCCCAGGAGTGTCCTGCCAGGAATAAGAAAGGCTGAGCTGTGCCAGCATAACAAAGCATAGGTGATGCAAAGGTGCTCAGTGTGAAAGTATTATGCAGGCAGCCTCCCTACTGATTTAGGCATCTCCCAGCCCATCCATGATGAAAACTGGGCTGGGTCCAAAGAGCTTGGTTCTCTTTGCCTCAGAATCCTCAAATAAGTGGAGGACTAAGAGCTCTCAGTATAAGCAGTACTAAGAGATTCCAGTATAAACAGGGATTCACCTCCGAGGCATTTACTGCATGTCTCTCGTGATTAGCATGGTTTTTAGCTAGCTGTCATTAAAAAAACAGAGAAAAAACTGTCCTCCCCCTCATCAAATGCAGTTATAAAACCTTCCTAATGGTTACAATGGGACTGATTTATCCACCAGATTTATTTGACAGCACCTGTTACAGAGACCGAGGAAGCAATTGAGCTGTGGTGGGTTAGACTGATTGCTGCTTGTTCAGACGGGCTATAGGAGATTACATCCTGCATTAACATCTGTGTGTTGCAGAGCTGCTCCAGTCAGAGCACAGGCAGTGTGTGCTCAGGCAGGTTCACAAGTCAAGAACAGGGCTTTCTCTGGGCAGTTTTAGTGCTGCAGAAACCAGGAGTGGACTTGGAAGCAAAGGAGTAGGAGGAATGTGTGGTGGGAAGTCCAGCAGAGAGCATGGATAGGCCATGATGCCTTCCTGTGTCTGAAGAGGGTGCAAGGATGCTGGAGAGGGGCTCTTCATCAGGGACTGCAGTGATAGGACAAGGGGTGATGGGTTCAGACTGAAACAGGGGAAGTTCAGGTTGGAGATAAGGCAGAAGCTCTTCCCTGTGAGGGTGCTGAGGCGCTGGCACAGGGTGCCCAGAGAAGCTGTGGCTGCCCCATCCCTGGCAGTGCTCAAGGCCAGGTTGGACACAGGGGCTTGGGTGACATGATGAAGTCTTTCCCATGGTGCTAATGGCAGATAAATTCTCCTTTTCTTATTCTTCACCAGCACGCGTTGAGCCTGCCCTGGTTTTGCGAATGGAGAGAGCTGTGTGGTGTCTGGAGATGATCCTGTTATCATCCCTCCTCACACACACTGATCTCTGTCCCCTGACCTTCTCCACCCAGAACTGCTCCATCACTATGGAGAGCAGCATCACAGCTCACCTCATCTCCAGGGAGGGGGCTGCAGCTCCCATAAACTGAACTGTGTCTTTATGGCACTTACTGCACCCAACAGAAAGCCTTCAGTTGGAATTTTAATAGCCCATTATGCTCAATGACATTTCTGGTCCTTTGGGGTGGATTTGAACTATGGAAACCTTTCCAAAGTACCAAACTGATTGCTCCTTGCAGCTGACTGATGCTGTCACCTGTAAGTAGCCCTTTGGAGATCAGGCAGTGCAGTGCTGTTGTCCCACATCAGAATCAGTGATACAGGCAGCTTGTGCTTTGCAGTGCGTCAAAGCAGCCATAAAATGAGATACCACAGGGGAGAAGTCACTGATGCACACTGATAAACCTACCCCACTGCTTGCATTTCCTTATAACGAGCATAAATGTATTTGCTTTGGTTACAAGAACACTGTTCTATTCCATTTGTTCCGGAATTCCTCCTGCCCTTTGTTCTGACAGATATTAAACAACTTTTTATTTCCCTTTAATGCTTTTATTGTTCCTTGTAATGTTTCCAATGTTCCCATCCCATCTCCTGTGCAGCCGAGCCAGCGGAAGAATTCAGCACAGGAAAACAGGCTTTTAAGAGATGGAATCACTACATTTTCCCACCAGGATGGCTGCACAGCTTGAAAGCAGCAAGAAAATGTGTTTGCTGTTCTTTTGCTGATGGCTCTGTACTTAAGGTCACAGTATAGGATTTGGCACATATATTCTATAGCAGAGAACGAGTCCTACATCCTCTTAATGCTTCTCAGGGCTTGCCTTGGTCTGGCTTTGTGGAATTCTCTCCTGGGCCATCCTGGAGACAGAACTGAGGTTCCTTTCGAGACATTTAGAGCAGGAATCTGAGACAGGCTTTCAGAAGGCCTAAGCTCTTTTAGCAGCACAGGGAAGGTTCAGCCCTTTCAGAACCACTCATAGCCAGCACCTCTCAGTGATCATGGCACTCGAGGAAGAGGAATTCCCCATTGGATTAGTGGAAGCTGCTGGATGATGAGGAGTTACAAAAGTCTTCTCCTTAGGGGGGCAGAGATTTGTTCTCCCTGACTATTAACTAGAGAACATAACAGGCTGAGAAATTCCTCAGTGCTGATCAGGACAGGTAGATGGTGACTGCAGAGGTTTCAGAAGACACAAACAAGAACCTTCCCAACCCCTCCCAGTAAGCCCATTTCCTCCTTGTTTCTCTCTACCTTGTCTGACGCTGCTCATTTCTCTCTTTAGCACCAAGCCCCCTTGGTGAGCAGTAAAAGGTTCAGCCTTGTTCAGAGAACAATGCACACAACAGCCAGTCCATTAGCTCTTCAGTGGTTATTTTAATTAACTAATCTGTTCGAAACAGGCAGAGCCCATTGAGCCATCTGGGCTGGTTAAAGCCACATACTGCATTAGTAATGTGCTGATTAAAAACTTCATTTTGCTCCAAGTCCCGAATGTATCCAAATGTTACCACTCAGAAACCGCTTCCTGCAAACAGCTCCGAGGCTTGAATTCCACACATGCAAGAAAGGAGGCTTCTTTTAGGCTTGGGTCAAGGTGTGCTGCTAAACCTGGCTGCTGCCTTAGCAGGGAAGGACCCAGCCAGACTAGCAAGGAGGGAGCAGGCTGGGTTTCTTTGCAGCCCCTTCCTGGGAAGCAGGAAAGCTGGGAATGTAGTGTCAGGTATTCCCTGCTGTGGAAATTCCCTAATTCCTAGCAATACTTGGGAAAAGAAGAGGTGGTTTTCCCTGAGAGGGCTTCCTGCCTGGGTCTGGAATGGTTTAATTTCTTAGAAACTGAATTTACCAGAGATGCTTAAATATCTTAGGATGCAAATCCTACCTTGCACAGGAGACCTGAAGCAGAGAAGGCAGCTCCTGCCTTCAGCCTGTTGGCCTTTAGCATCAATCACAGAGTCCCAGACTGGTTTGGGCTGAAGGGACCTTAAAGCTCCAGCCCCTGCCACAGGCAGGGACCCCTTCCACTGGAGCAGCTTGCTCCAAGCCCCTGTGTCCAACCTGGCCTTGGGCACTGCCAGGGATGGGGCAGCCACAGCTTCTCTGGGCACCCTGTGCCTCAGCACCCTCACAGTGGACCACAATCACCTGCAGAGGAGGTTCCCTCTCCTTCCTGTGTCCTGCCTGGAATGGAGCATTCCAGCCTCCATCTCAGAAGGGTTTATCTTATCTCACAGTAAAACTGTGTGTGTTTGTGTATTGCTGACTTTATTTTGGCTCCGGCCAGCCTCAGTTTCCTATAGTGTGGGCCAGGTCACTGCTTCCAGCCAAGAACCTTTCACACACTTGGTAGCTGTTGTGAGATTTAATTCCTATAGTACAATTAAGATAATCTTTGCTTTTAGGGACCTAAGGCACGACGAGGGCACATGACTGAGCAGAGAGCGGGGAGCTGAACTAAGACAGCTTGCCTGCTGTCTCTGCCCATGGCAGGTTATGCTTTGCGGTACCCAGAATCTGGGGGTTTGTAACTCAACAACATCCGAGCACTTAAACAACCCTTGTCAGACCTCTTTCTTCCAGCCTTTCAGAGCTAAACCCAAGTCTGGCGATGTTGGTGGCTCCTGAGCTGAAGGACTCACCTGAGCCCGGCTCCCCACAGCCTCCCCACTAACAGGACTCTTGTTTTCTGCAGGTCAGCGGCCACCTGGACTACATGAAGCAAATGGACACGATCCTCAAAGCTGTGGGCATTAAAACCAAGGAAGAGAAGGGCAGTGCCAGCTTCTCCTCCCCTCCAGGCAGGCAGTCCCAGCAGGGAGCGGGCAGTAGGACTCAGGAAGAGGAAGGCACTGGGCAGGAGGAGGAGGAGGATGTGGCTGCAAGTGATGCTCTCCCAGCCAGTGCTCACTGCCCAGATTCCCCCAGCCCTGTCCTGGGAGGAACCAAGGAACAGGCAGCAGCAGAAGGAGCACATTAGACCTTGGTGCTGGGCAGAGATGCTCAACCAGCACTAAAACTGCTTCCAAAGCACTGTCCAAAGCGCTGGCATTCCCAAAGGAATATCAGTAGCACTGGCAGAGCTGCAGCTGCAGGCTGCAGACCCTCCTGAGAGCCTGGAGCATGGCACCAGTGTGTCACTGGATCAGAGCTTATGGAGCAGCTGCCCATAGCATCTCCCATGGAGAAGGGGCTGATTCCTGCCTGAATCAGCCCTGCTCCTCAGGAAGCGCTTCCCTCCTTGCACAAACTGGGTTTATCCTGGGGGGAAGCAGCTCTCCCCATCGGGGCTGTGTTTCTGCTGTGTAACTCTTGGGAAAGAGGTGTCTCTGTGGGTACTTTGAAGCAGATTGAGGAGAGGGGCTCTAGGAAATGAAACCCACTTTTGGTGGTCGATTTGGCTTTGGCTTTCACATGAGCTGGTGCATTGCAGGCTCTGGAGTGCGGGCACATGCATCCCAGTGCCCACGCTTCGGCTCTGCTGAGTGAGGAGGCGAAGGGCTGGGGCTGCCTGGCTCCTCTCCCTGTCTGCTGTAGGTTTGGTGCGCAGGCTTGGGCACTGGACTCTGTCCCTGTCTGCCAGCTTGGTGCAGTGAGTGCTCCAGGTGGAGACACACTTGGAGACCCCAGGTGAACACAGCAGAGCAAACAGAGGGGGCTGGTTGTGATTTAGTGCTCTGTAAAACCTCCTCCCAGGCTTTGCAAGCCAGCAACCCACAGAGACTTTGCTTTTGTGTCCCACAAACTTCTCCAGCCTTGAAAGCCCCCTCCAGGCGTATTTTTCATTGGCTTAGAATAAAACCAATACTCAGGATGAATCTGTTTGATTTCTGCCTCCTTCCACAAGAGCTAATTGGTATCTGGTATCCGCTCTCCACTCCCTCAGTCTCACACCAGAGGGAAGGACCCCACTTTACATCCGCCACCACACAGAGCCTTCCCAATCCATGGGGGACTGATCCACATCTGCCATCAGAGCTTCTTTTCTGACCTGTTTTGCTGCTGAGCCCAAGCAAACGAATCTGCCAGGAGCAGGGCACGAGGAGAAACCTCCTCGTGTAGAAACACCTCCAGATCAGGTCTTGACTCGAGGGGGGAAAGAGCACGGTTGCAGCTTCCCTTTCACACACCAAGTCCTTCTCCTCCCTCCCTGTCCCAGCAGCTACTTCAATACCCACCTTCCCTTCCCTTCCCTTCCCTTCCCTTCCCTTCCCTTCCCTTCCCTTCCCTTCCCTTCCCTTCCCTTCCCTTCCCTTCCCTTCCCGAGCTGTGTGCACACCTTACCTGCAGGTGACCTCTCCTGAGTCCAAAGCGTGGCTGGTTTGGGGTTTGATGTTGTTGGGGGCTTTTCCTCTCTCCAGACCCTGCAGTCAGGGGGCTCGGTGCTGCTCAGCGCTCATTCCAGAGCAGGGCCTTGGGAACACCCCAAGGACCAGGAACCCGCAGCCTGTTTTGCAGGGCAGTGCTGTTGGCTGCAGGAAGGGGCCGTGATTCCTCCGTGGCATCGGAAGCTTTGTCCACAAGCAAACACCCCATTGCAAAGAACAGGCTCAAGGGAGTCCTGGTGCTGCTTTTGACCATTTGGCTTGAAGAAGCGGCCTCGCTCCATCCATCTCCCCCATCCTGTGCCTGCTGCTCCGGTCACCTCACACACTGCACCCTCTGTTTGCCAGCTCCCTTTTCACTGGAGCTACAGCCAGAGGGTGTTCATACATAAAGCCCTTTAGGGGCAGATGCGCTCACTTCATGCTCGATGCCAAACCCCATCTGTCCACAGGTAGGTACCACAAGTGCATGAACCTTTGTGCTGTTTGGACGCATGCTCTGGCAGTGCTGGCCCTGGGGGGCATTTATAGCAGGGAAACGTGGATTTCTTCATACCCACCCCTTGTTCAGTTCTGGAACGCACGTGGGTGATGGGGAAAGAAAACCAACGCAATTTGCTTGGGGTGTGGTGGATTCTCCGAGCATCCGGTCCCACAGGGATGCTTTGTCTGGATAACAGCAAGTTCTGGAAAAAGGCAGCAGCCTCATAGGGTGTGATTCCAAAGGGGCAGCCCCATGGCTGCATCAGAAAGGCACTTGAGGAGGGATTTGCTAAAAGCACTCATTGGGTTATTACACATTTGAAGTGCCCACTTGCTGCGTTAGTCACTTTTCTCTCTGCTGGTGGCTGCGGAGGGACTGGAACTGTTGTTTAAAAGACAATATTTGGTTACATTTTCACTGCAAAGGGAATAAATAAGTCTATTTTTTCAACCACATCATCTAAAAACTGACGGATTGTCAAAGTATGATGGGCACATGCCAAAAATAGGAAGCTGTAGGATGCAACCCAAAGGGAAGCTTATCTCCTGTCAGGATACCCACAGAGCCGCAAACAAGGCGAACACCCACACCTTGCTGAGGAGCCAGAAAGTGGTGCTGAGCATTCTGCATCACGTTTAACCCCCGGTGTGCTGTTTGTGATTAAACACCATGGTTTCACTGTGCTGCTGCTCAGTGCAGCACAGACGCAGTCCCAGCCAGGCGAGGGGATTAACCTCCAACCAGATGGGATGTTCTGTGGCCTGAAACAGCCCCAAACCTCTTGGCCGTGGGTCGTGGGATGCTGCTTCCCCTGCTGCTCTCAGTGCATTTGGTGACCCACCGAGCTGTGGGAGTGGGAGATGAAAGCCAGGCTTTGGTTTAACGCCGGGGAGATGTTGGCTGTGGAAGATGCGGTGCCCAAGGTTCACAGTGACCAGAAAAGGCCCCAAGGAGCATCCCTTGGAGAGGGAACAAGCGCTTGGTGACGACGAGCAAAGGCGGGATGGGAGGAGAGGAGAACAAGGCAGGTCCATGGGGCAGTGAAGCAGCGCTCAGCACAGGACCCCCTCTCAGGCCATGGGGGTGATGAGCTGGGGCTGCGGCTCCGTGTCGGGGGGCTCCCCGGGGGCCGGGAGCAGGGGGTGCTCGTGGCCCAGCAGCCCCGAGTCGGTCTCAGCCTGCAGCGTGAGCACGTTCCGGAGGGACGTGGCGGCGCGGGCCCCGCTGTTGGAGTTCCTCATGGAGAGGGAGATGGCGCTGGGCCGCGGCTCCCCGGGGCGCCGGCAGCAGGGCAGGTACTTGCCCATGGCCCTCCTGAAGTCCCTCATGAAGAGCGGGTAGATGATGGGGTTCACGGTGCTGTTGCAGTACCCGAGCCACGTGAGGACGTCGAAGAAGCCGGCGGGAACGCAGCCGCACACTGCCTGCGGGCACCCAGCAGGGTCAGCCCCAGCCAGGGCAGCACCTCCCTTCCACAGAAACCCCTCAGAACCCTTCCAAAGGGGCTTCTCCTCGATGCTGCTCCCCAGGGAGAACATGGAACCAACCAGGTTGGGAAAGCCCTTTCAGCCCATCCAGTCCAACCCTTACCCAGCACTGCCAAGGCCACCACTGCCCCATGGCACTGAGGGTGTGTGAACACTTGCAGGGCCGGTGCCTGCAGCCCTGCCCTGGGCAGCCTGTTCCAATGCCTGAGCACCCTCTGGGGCAGGAATTGTTCCTCAGCTCCATCTAACCCTGCCCTGGTGCAGCTTGAGGCCGGTTCCTCTTGCCCCATCCCTTGCACCTTTGCTCCTGGAGCCTTTCCAGCAGCTCCTGCAGGTGCCCAAGACTGCACCCCTCTGGTTTCCAAGTGAAACCCGATTGAAACCCCGATGTAAAACCCACCCGAGCCTCACCTGCGCCACGTTGGTGATGAAGAAGGGCAGCCAGGCCACGAAGAACATGCCCAGGAGGATGCCCAGCGTCAGGCTGGCCTTCAGCGCCTTCTTGCTGTGCTTGCTGGTGAACCTCCTGCTCTCGCTGCCGGCCGCGGGCTGGCTCGGGGCATGGGGAGCCTGGGGAGGGAGAAGGGCAATGAGCGATTCCCAGCGGCTGGAATACCGGCCCCAGCCTCCAGGGGAGTGCAGAGCCCGCAGCTCCTTCCCTTTGGGCAATGGGCAGGAGGGGGCACACACTGCACTGTGGATAGGGGAGAGGAGGCAAGAGAAACCCTGGGCACTGGGAGTGCTGTAACTGTAAAACAGAGGCTTTCTCATCAGGCTGCTCCTGCAGAGACAAACCCGGCTCTTGAAGGCTTTGGGGAGGGTAAAACAAGCCCTGAAGGTGCAGCCTGAGCTGCTGCTTAGGGCAGGAACTCTGTGGTGAAAGGCAGGACATCAGAGGTGCCAGCCTGCAGAGCCCCAGCTCAGGGCCCTGTCCTTGCAACCCAAAACAGAGCCCTTAGCTCAGCCCCGTGCCACAGATAACCAGGGGCCTGTTGGCACCCAGCTCTGGGCCCAGAAAAGAGAAGGAAAATGGGGTTAGAAAGGGGAAACTCGAGGATTCCCTGGAGGAGCCTCCTGGGACACGGGGGTGGTGCTGGGTTCACACAGAGCAAAGCACCCGAGCACCTCGAGGTGTCTGCAGCACCCAAACCCCTGACTCGTGGGCAGAGAAGGAACAATTGAAGATGGGCTGAGAACACTGGGGCTGCTCAGCCTGGAGAGGAGAAGCTGCGTGGAGACCTCAGAGCAGCTTCCAGTGTCTGAAGGGGGCCTATAGGGATGCTGGGGGTGGACTCTTCATTAGGGACTGCAGTGATAGGACAAGGGGTAATGGGTTAAAACTGAAACAGGGGAAGTTTAGATTGGATATAAGGAAGAAGTTCTTTCCTGTTAGGGTGCTGAGGCACTGGAATGGGTTGCCCAGGGAGGCTGTGAATGCTCCATCCCTGGCAGTGTTCAAGGCCAGGTTGGACAGAGCCTTGGGTGAGATGGGTTAGTGTGAGGTGTCCCTGCCCATGGCAGGGGGGTTGGAACTGGATGATCTTAAGGTCCTTTCCAACCCTAACTGTTCTATGATTCTATGATTTGATGCTGTTGTCGCTGGTCTTTCCTCCCCATTTCCCTTTGGCAAGGCTGGCGCATCCCATCACGTGCAGGAGCTGGGCAAGTCCCAGAGCCTCGGCTGCTTTTGTCTAAGAGAGAGCAACAAACTAAATCAAGGTATTTAAAGGCAATTACGTTTGTCATTCCCTGCAGGACCCGGGGGCAATAAAGCCCATTATAGGGAATTAAAGCTGTTACATTGAGCGGCAATTACCTTCTCCTGGAGAAACACAAACAAGCCCCGGCGATAAAAGCCACGCACCCGAGCCCGAGCAGCGATGCAGGGAGGGATCGCGCGGCTCCCGTTAGGGACCGGGACCAGGAGCAGGAGCAGGAGCAGCCGCTG